CGATCACGATTCAGTTTATTTCATGAATCTAACCATACAAGAGCTTTATAGTTTTGTTACAGATTTTAGTGGTATGTTAGCGAAAAGGTTGAGAGTCACGTGGGCAGATAAAAAATAAAAGAAAAAGCTTTCTTGGGTCAGGAATAATTGGATACTTGCATGAAGGAATCTGGGGGAAAACATTTTGGCAGACGATGAACTAAGAAATAAATACCCTGACGATTTTAAAAGCAACAAATCTCTGCAGTTTGATTTTCTCCTGGAATGTGTCCCACCACACTCCCCTTGTCGATATGAAGTGGATTATATCAGAGCTTTTTCTTTTCAACGATATTTGGAATATTTGCTTTACATCTTTTTATGTTATTGATTTCACATGATACTTTTAGAAGTATATAAAAAAGTTTATTAATATTTTGTCGTTTTGCTAATACAATTTGATGAAGCATATCATTATAGGCAGAATAGGTGCATTACCTTTATAAAGTTATTACTTTTGAAAAATTAACAATAGAAAAACTGAAAGGTCGGAGATAACTTAAGAAACTGCTCATGTGACTTTTCAAACTAAGGGACTTATTTTTGCATTGAAGAAATTGGTTACAAATATTGCCTTTGTGCAACAGTGACATAATATATATTAATTTGTTATATTAACTTTTTATACAGAAAGAGAATGGAGATTAAGATACAGTATATATGACATCTTCATAATTTGGATAAAATGTTAGTTGTAAATCTTTTTTATGGATAGGTATTAATTAAAGTATTTTCTATTGGTAAACGGTTTTATCAAGTTTATTTTACAATTTGTATCATTTTCCAGTTCCTAATTCTGGATTTTTTTTATATTTCTATTCAACATTCGGATTTTAAAATACATTTTACATCTAAAAAAAAAAAAGATTCCTAGCATCTGCACTAACACTAACTGGCATAGCTTAAAAAGGTATTTAGTCAATTTTAATAACCCTGGGTTGGAATTGGTGAAATATGGACGAGTTAATTACCAATAATCAGAAACTATTAAATTTTTGTTGCTGATAAAACGCCAATTACGTCTTTGCTTTTCTGAACAACCCATCACTGCACAGTTGAATGTTTAATTCACTGCGTTTAATTATAACTCGCACAAATTTGAAACACACCAGATGAAAAGCTAACGAAACTAATCACAACTTAAGTTCTAAAGCGCCATATAAAACAGAAGGTTTGTCACCCGTCTCTGGGGAATTTCGTCTCAGAGTGACATCACGCGAGCGAAACACTGATCGCATACGCGTAGGTTTATCTTCTCGGGTGATAGTATCATGGCAAATTACGATGTACCTCGCTCTCCTCTGACGCGTTCACGCATGAAAACCAAACGTGTTTCACACTGAGCGCGGGCGGTCGTGCAATTCCACGAACGCGAGGATCACGCTATCGTGCGACGCTCCGTGAGTCGAGAATGATAATAAATACGATGAAGCTGCGGTTCAGTATTAAGACGTCCGCGTTAGGCGACCTATTCACAATCGTTTCATTATGCCAAATCGCAATCATAACTAAAAATTATTTACGAATGTAAAAGCTTGGATACCTTCTCATTTGAAGACGGTTTGAATGGAGTGACGTGGTGTCAAGCCGTTCGGGTTGTCACTTATCACTGAACGTTGCCCTTTACAGCGGACTTAACGTACGGCCATCTCGGACACGTTGACGCGATTGCTGTTGGTATACTTGTGTTTCTAGTCTTTGTCATATCTCAACAGATTCAAGATTTAAGAAATGAAGATCTGTTTCTAATCCACAGTCATTCAATCTTACTAAAGAAAATAACTTATAAGACATTTAACTGTCGTGATATTCTAATTCTCTTTATATTTATAGAATTGACATTGTAAATTATTGTAAATGCAACAGAAGTAAGCAGACTTGTGTTCGTCTAGTTTATTTGTTTAACGTTTATGGTCTCGGCGGGTGGCGACTAGACTGAAACCCAGGAGGCGCCTAGCTCGCCACCCGCAGGTTTTTAACACTTCGCTAAAAGTCAAGTGGCCTTGTTTGCCGGAAACAACAGAAACCGACAACAGGACGTTTTGCCCTTATCGTCGGGTCTTTCCTTATTGATTTTAACCACTTCCACTATGTCTTCCGACATATTATGTAGAAGAGGAAGTATTGTAATCGTAAAAAAATTGGAAAAATGAGATTTTTTTGATGTTCTATGACATGTATACCACAAAATACCATGTCGCTCATTTCCATGTGAAGCTTGGAAAGTACTGTTTGGACTTTGATTAAACAAGGTCACTGCTCTGCCAAAGACAAAAACGCTTTGTAGATTTTGAAAATCGTTCCAGTGTCATCGGAGCTACAGGCAAAAAACGCAAAAATCATTCAAACTTGATCTAAGTCATGTTTCATTGCTTATGATCCGGGTAATACCACACATCCGTTAAATACCATGTTGATCTCTACATGTCTCTAGTTATTTATTTATTTATTTATTTATTTATTGAAATCCACCACCAACAGTGTTAACCAATTACTGGTGGCAAAACAACAATAGAAATAGTAAAAAAAACATATAAAAGTACAACGAAAACTAAAAACTAAATCATTTCACTGCAAACTCTCTTAATGTTCGAAATACTTGTGTTGAACAAATCAAATGTACTCTGTAGACTATTATAACATGAACACATCGAGTACAAAGGTGAGTGCAACAGTAAGTTAGTTCGTGGGGTAGGTAGGTAAAAAGTGAGTGTATTGCGAGTAACAAATTTTGGAGCATTAAATTTAATCTGTGCTAGAAATGATGGACAATCATAACTGCTATGCACTACTTTATGGAGGAATATTAGCGAGTGAATCTTTCTTCTGTTATCAAGACTGATAAACTTGTGCTTCCGTAACAGGTCTTCCTGTGGGACCCCAATGGGTGGGTACGTACCGTCAATTTTGAATGAAAGAAATTTCAGAAATTTCCGCTGAATCTTCTCCAGAGAGCCACAAGTTGTAACATAGCATGGATTCCATATTAGCCGTCCATATTCTAATTTAGACAGGATGAATGAATTATAAAGCATAATCATGGCATCTTTGTTACTTAATTCCTTTGAGTTACGTATTACAAATCCTAATAATCTGTTGACAGCATTAATATGAGGATTGAAGCTAAGTGACATGTCAAAAAACACACCCAGGTCCTTGCATTCTTGTACTCTCAGCAGAGAATTATTGCCAATTCTGTAGTCAAATGTAATAATATCTAGCTTTCTGGTATAAGACATAACACTACATTTACTGTAGTTAATTGGAAGTCGATTGACAGCACACCATTTAACTATTTTGGCTAGGTCTTTTTGTAAGTGAGCACAGTCAGTGCTGCAGTCGACATTGGAAAAAATTTTCAGATCATCAGCATAGATTAAGTGGCTGCTGTCGATGTCGCTAACAATATCGTTTATGAACAGTATGAAAAGCAAAGGACCTAAGCAGGAGCCTTGAGGTACCCCTGAGGTTGGAAAGAATTCAATGGATTTGACACCCTCATATTCAACATATTGCTTTCTTCCTGATAGATATGACTTAAGAAAGGATAACAGCTTGGGGGAGAATCCAAAATAGCTCAGCTTCGTTAACAGAATACTGTGATCAAGTTTGTCAAATGCTTTACTAAGATCTGTATAAATTACATCCACCTGGCTATTAGCATCTAATGCAGAGGAAACTGACTGAGTAAAACAGGCTAGGTTAGTTATGGTTGATCTACCCTTCATAAAGCCATGCTGAGAAGTACTTATTTGGGCATGTGTATTGTGGTATAGGAAATTATGAAGCAAAGTTTCTAAGGCCTTGGAAAAGATACATACTAGGGTTATCGGTCTATAATTTTCAACCTGTAGTCTATCACCCTTCTTGAAAATGGGACGCACCTTTGATTCGCCCCAAATTTCAGGAAACGTGTCAGTCTTTAAACATAGGTTGAAGATCTTTGTCAAGGGATGAGCTAAGACGTAGGCACAGTCACGCACTAAAAACGATGGAATTCCATCGGGTCCGGAGGTAAATTTATTTTTCATTTGCTTTAACACTGTAAACACTTCTTCTTCGGAAAAGCTCTGAAGTATTATGTTAGTATGCAAGTCCGAAATATTGATATCAGTTGCGTTCGAAGGCATAGTATATACAGATTGAAAAAATAGCGCAAAAGCATTAGCAATTTCATTGGGTTTGTCATACTGCTTACCATTATAGTTTACTTGGCTGATTGTGGAATTTTGTCCCCTTTTATTACAGATAAAAGACCAGAAATTGTTCGGATCCTGAGATAGTCTACTTTGGATATCTACTAGATATTTTTGATATGCGTTACGCTCATCGCGCTTAATTTTGGTCCTTAAGTCTTTGAACTCAGTGTATGTGATCAAACTTTTATCCTTTTTAAACTTTTTGTGTAGCAAATTTTTTCTTTTAATGTCTCTAATCATTTCACCGTTAAACCAAACTGGAAATTTGAGAGATCTGAGACTTGTCCTAGGGACACACATGACTTGTCCGTGCGATCGTTAGATGACACAGCAAATTGACTCACCTGGGTACAAAAAGTATGCGCATACCTAGCGCAGGCAATGTTCTCGGCGCAAAATTTCCGCACACATGAAACGAGTACTGTGCACTGGAACATGGTAAAGGATGTAACGTGAGAACATCTAGCTAGGCGTGCGATAACATTCTAGTGCTGTGTTACTGGTCGCAAGAATCTAAGTACCTAGTTTGAATATTATCATAATGTATCATCTACAGCATGGATACAACTTTCATATGTACTGCGTTAGACTTATTAATGCCTCTTCTGGAAGATTATTTCACTTTTTGCCACTCTGTACGAACAAAGAAGGAGAACTCATACTAGCACCGGTCATGCCCTTAGTGGAAGGAAGTGACAAGCAACAGGGTTACTATTCTTGAATAAAGGAGTAGAATCACTCAGTGCAAGCGGGCGTGGTTCTTTTATCTTTTTTTATACTTCAACTACCACGAAGGCCTAAGGCCTAAGCACCCATTGGGTACTGTGGGGCTATAGGGGGATACATGGGAAAGGGGGGACGCCACACGGACTCTGGCGAGGGAACACGTGTGCATGCAACATGCACACATTCTGGCTCCGCCTACGACATCCGCGTTCGACAGTCAGAAACCGTCTACCACCTACGGACAATCACAACATCCATAGCCAAGAGACAAATTTCTCCTGGGACGGGATTCGGACCCGCACAGCGCACGGCGACTGATCAGGAGACCGAAGAGTTTACTACTGCGGCCACCGCTGCTGCCTAAAACTGCCAATGTTGGTCCGATTCTAATCCCAGAATTTATCATGAGGATCATACACAGCAAATTAAATGATTGGGCTGGTATTTTTGGCGAAGAAGAATGATTCCAAATTCTCACGATTGTTCGCATTTGTCAAACCTACTGTAATCGCGAACATTTTCTAAAATGAGATATTGTTTTATATTTTTTGGATGCACAAAACACCAATGTCACTCATTTCCGTCTTTCTCTCAATGTTACTACTATGCCAAGGACAAAAAAGCTTCATAGTTTTTGAATATCTATTCGATCATTAGCCGTGAAAAAAATGGCCAAAACTAAAATAAAAAAGAAGAAAAATCGCTAATACTCCGTTTTATGACATTTCAGGGAATCCTGATCATTTTTGAAAAAATTACGTTCAACTCCGCAAGATTTAACTATCGACATCAAATTTGTGGTAGACTTGTGATCTGCAATTACGACTAAACCATTAGCTTTAGGGCTGTGATTTTTTTAAATGAGCTAAATGGTTAGCTTTAGCAATAGTTATGCCACTTTTTGACAAAGCTAACTAGAAATCAACGCAAGAAAACAAAAATTCATTTTTTTGTGAAAAATCTCTTCCATCTCTCGCGGTAAAAAAATTGAGGTTGTATTTCATTATTCATTTTATTGTAAAAACTAACTCAATCCATGTAGAATAAACCCTGAAAATTTCAGCTTGCTACGATGCGATAAACGTAAGAAACGCAATAGAATCCTTACCACCTACACCTATTGTGTGTAGCCTCTCTTTATGGCGATTTACCGACAAATGTGGAAGATAATATAACTTAACTAACTTTCAAGGAACAAGTTCTGGCCACCAGCATATTGCCAATGTCCGAAAAATCGCTTTCTGGCCGTTTGGTATAGATCAAAATGCGTTCTGGGTATCGTCATATTGCCAGAACGCGTCGAGCATACAAACAAAACGACCAAAACCCGATTTTCTACGAGTCTAAGCTTGTATCGAATCTAAACCACCCTACTGTCTACTACTCGCAGTAAATGATCATCGCGTAGTCGATGTAGTACGTCGCGTCGCTTAACCTGTTCGTTAAGCCGTGCAAGAATGTCTACTAGTGCCATGGATAGGTTCGTGTAAAAATAAGTAGATGTAGGTATGCCGATACCCCTAAAGCACAAGTTATTATATAGTAAATGTTTTCTGTTTCTGTTAAAACTGAAGTTATTTATTTGTTTTTTATTTTGAAACTTGTTATATAAGCAATCAAATATATTTTTTTTATACTAAATTGGCCTTTGGACGTTTTGTTTGTATGCTCGACGCGTTCTGGCAATATGACGATAGCCAGAACGCATTTTGATCTATACTAAACGGCCAGAAAGCGTCTTTTCGGACATTGGCAATATGCTGGTGGCCAGAACGCGTTCTGGTCGTGTTTTTCGACCATTGGCCGAAATCGGTGTTTCATCTCAAGCTAACTTAGTTTGGACTGAGAGGCGAAACCGTTTGACACTTGGGCATGTCAAAGCAGAGATTAAAATTAAATCTAACTTTATTATGACTTGCAGTGAATTTTATAACTACGTTTATCCCCTTTACCCTTAACCCCCCCCCCCCCCGTGGGAGCACCAGTGACTGTAAAAATACGTAAATATTTTTGTAATCGATGCAGAAGGAACGCTTGATTTATGGATATTATAAAAACACTGTTTCATTGAAGAAACAGTGGTTAAGGTAAGTTGGAATTTCTTAAATAGATTTAAATATTCTGATATTGTTCATCAAAGTATCTGCGGTTATACATTCCATAAAACACAGTCGTACATAACATTTAAAACAATAATTATATTAGTTAGAATGGTTGCCGACTTTATGAAGCAAGCTAAACAAATATATAAACAAATCTTACCTGGTGAATTGGTAGAGCAAAAACCTTGGTAGTTGTAAAAAATGACGTAATAATAATCTTCAGTTTACGCTGACTGCGCTCGAGATAAGTATACTTGTAGAAGCTTTGATTACAATCACTTACAAATGTCATATATGTTGTGGTACCTTTATGAAAAATAGCTTTGTGTGCTTATCGTACATTCATTAACATGTGATAGCTATAGGCAAAATTATCATTAAATAATGTTTTGAAGCACCATTGACTTGAATAATATGGATCGTGAAAATGGGGACAAAAGTGAAATTCAAGTGTATACATACAGGTGGATCATCTTGTGTTTATTCTGTTTATGCAATGTAATCAATTTTATGCAGTTTCTTCAGTTTACTATTGTCGGTAATGTGATACAAAGGTGAGTAATTTTTTGGGAAGCATTTAGTTTGTATATATTTCATATTTATTTTTAGGTATTATAATGTTGAATTAGCTTTGGTGGATGCCACAGGATTAATATTTTTCGTAACGTTTCTTCTGTTTTTCTTGCCGATAAGCTACCTCATTGAAAAATTCGTAAGTATGATTTTTAATATGGAAATGGGTTATTTAGAAATTTTATAAATACCACGTCGATATCATTCCATCCTTGTTTGACTTGGGTGGTTTCATTAAAGTGTATTTTTGGCGTGAAGTCATCAAAAATATGTATTATTATCTATACAGGGTGAGATAGGGGTTAGATTGTTTTCTCAACATATAACATATTAGTATCAGAATTATATAAGGAATTGAATGTATAAACCGTCTTGCTTCGAAGATGGTAGATGAAAAATATTGACAATAACACCATTAGCAAAAAAAAATATAAGCTTTTTCAGCTACAGGAGCTGTACAACATCACCATCTTCATCTAGCTCTAAAAGGTTTTCCAAAAATGAATTTGGACGTATCTCTGAAACAAAACAAATTATCTAGATACATGAAATGTCAAAATATGTTTAGGAACCTACATAACACACAGTTAGCTATAACAAAAAGAAAGAATTTTCTCATTTTCGCCCTATAAGTATTCTACCTACCCTTTCGAAGATATTGGAAAAAATCGAAGCTTTCCAACTTAACATTTATTATATCTTCTAATAATTACTACTACACAATCGGGCTTTCGGTCTGGCCATAGTACAACAACCGCGCTTGCAACCGTTACAGACGACTTATTCATGGCATTTGACAATAAGATGTATAGTTGCTCGATTTTGCTCGGTTTCAGTAAAGATTTTGATACAATAGATCAGTCAATTTTATGTTCTAAACTTAAATCTCAAGGACGAAGCAATATGGCGGCAGATTTCTTTAATAGCTACGTGTGAGGCAGATCCCAGTGCACATAATTTAATGGACACGTATTTCAGTTTTGTAGTATAACCAGATGTGCTCCACAAGGTAGTATTATAGGACCTTTGCTGTTTCCACTGTATACGTCAGATTTGAAAAATCAGTTGAAATTTTGTAGTACATATCAATATGCTGATGAGACAAATTTGCACCCCACGTTACGCATCTCTTACAAAAAGCTTATGCTAAATTAAGGGCTTTTTATCTTCACAGGAATGCTCTCTCTACCGAAGTCAGGCTGAATCTATGCGATTCGTTGAGATATGCTGATATTGTATACTGGCCTGCTCTCACTGCTAGAGACAAACTTCCTATCCAAAAAAATTAGAACTCATGTGTTAAATTTTCGTCCTGTTTGAAACAATATGACCACTTTAGCTCTTTTTGATACAACTTTCTTGCTTAACTTACAATATTAACAAAACCGAGCTACCCCTTTACCTCTGTACCAAACTTGTTAGGAGATCTGATCTTCATGATAAGCAAACTCGTACATACTTGTAATCTATATGATGTTCCGTCCCACAGTACTGAATAGTTTAAGAAATAATTTACTTATGTTGAATCTACACTGTACAACTCATTGTCAGATATAGTAAAAAATTCGCCCTCACTTAGTAGCTTTTGAAATAGAGTCAAATCCGATGCGACAAGGCTACAATAGCATTATTCACGGGGGTAGCATGGAAGAGCAACGGTGTTGAATACCGCCTTACTCATCATATGTTTTTTTTTGTTTGTACTTTTATTCAAAAAATAAAGACAGGTTATTATTATTATTATTATTATTATTATTATTATTATTATTATTATTATTATTATTGTTATTATTATAACGCACCAACAGATGAGAAAGGTACCATAGTGAAATGAAAGAGAGTAGCATAACATAATATACTCCACTGCTAGCGCGGCCTTCCTTGCGTATCGGAAAAGTCGATGAACGTCGATCCCGCCGTCTTCAAAGCAGTGTCGTACGATGTGTTATGCTACTCTATTTTAGATAATAGTTCACAATCAGTATTTACTGCAATCTGTCAATGTTTATCATGGACTTTGATATTTATTGACCGTGTAGTCTGAACGTCAGTTATTACTGATGTTAGGTTACGTGAAAATCCACTGACACTGACGGAATGGTCAGTCATTTGCCTAAGAACCCGGATTGAAAGAGTTTTCCGGTTTTTAGAATTTAAAAGTTACCTTGATCACTAGTGCCTCACTGACAGCAGCAGGTAACTTAGTGAAGCTTTTCTGCAATGAACCCGACAGATTCTACTTAGTGTTAATTGGGCAAGCGTTGTGTGGTACTGCTCAGGTGTATCTACTAAGTACTCCATCAAAATTGGCCTCATTATGGTTTGGAGCAGAAGAAGTTTCCACGGCATGCGCTATTGGGGTTTTAGGAGCACAATTAGGTAAGTGTTGTTGGCTAATTGTCAATAGCATAGGTAGGTAAAATAAATATTTAGTCGTTCAAGTGTTAACTGATAATTAGGGCGAAAACACAGTGGAAGCCGGTTTCCTGCTTACCGGCCACCAGCGCCTATCGGCGTCTATAAGATTCTATAACAATATCATTCCTTTGAATTGGCAATAACACAATGGGTGCAGGCAGTCGGCGTCACCGGTTTTGCCGGAACGATTATTTAGTTCTTTATCGCCGGTTGTCAGAGCAGGTTGATGTGTATAATGGATATAGACAAGTTAGTTTAGACTGTGGAGTTTACACCAATTTTAAGTTAGAAGGTGTTCAACTTCTATCCAGAATATAATTGAATATTTCATGATTCATTCTGGTGTACTGAAAAAAGCGGTCGGGGTCATCTTTCAACGCCTTGAACAAATGATGATATTCATTATAATGGATCCTCTCACAATTTATGGGGTGAACACCAACTTTCTGTTTCGTGATTATTTTACTTACAGAGCTGTCCAATGCAATAAATTCATCTTCAGATGAGCTAGACCCCATGTTGACGCGAAGACTACTCTGGAACTGACAAGAGTCTGGTTTTATTTGCCCATTTTTTTCGTCAGCACTGTGTCCATGACCAGCCCCGAAATTCGGTACCGACCGGCGCTGGTTGCCGGTAAGCCAGGAAACCAGCTTCAGCTGTGTTTTCGCCCTCACAGATAGTGACACAGCGCGTCAGAACCTATACTTTTCACAAAAGGAATAAAGTAACTACAGTAAGGATGAATTCCAATCTTGATGATTGATGCTACCTATGGTGAAATGGGCTAGCTAATGATTTTCAATTTTTCAATACACAAATTTGGCTATCCCACAGTGAAATAGTGTTTTCAGTATTTTTTTACCAGACTGCTTTAGAAAGAGGGCAATGTTTTTCGTTTGTGGGTATGTATCTATATAATATATTTTCATTGACTATAAACCAAACGTCGTGAAGGATTTTGGCATATGTGGTGTCGTAGAATTCGTCTTAGTAATGCGTGTGACACTGGCTATATTGAAATTTTATTTGATTAAAATGGCGCATTTTAATAAAGAAGACACCCTTAAAATTCATACCTCTCAGGCTACAGCTTAAATGGCTTGATAGATTTTAACATATGAGGTATCTCTAGATTTGCCTTGACAGTACGAGTGATACTGGGTATACTAAAATTTTATAAAACAAAATGACGGGTTTTGATAAAAAATTCAACCTTGAAATCCCTATTTCAGAGGTTTTAAACAACTTGATGATGGATTTTGACGTATATGTTGTTTAGATTTCTCTTGATACCATAATTGAATCTTCGTATTTTCCTGTTACTGCAGTCGGATTGCTTGTATTTTTTTAATCTACTTGTTTTCATTCAACTCATGCTTATCTCTTATTTCGATGGATCACACACTTTGGATAGTACACTATACATAGCTGCCATCCTTTCGTCCGTTGTCAATACTCACGAGTAGAAAAAAAGCACGAAGCTGCTGTGCATGGTTTGCTATATTTGGTCGGATGATTCTACTAAGCATTAAGTATGTTGAATGTAATATTAGGTTACTAATTTCAGGTGCTGCATTGGGTGCTGTTTTTCCGCCTTTCTTGGTGAAGTCAAATGAGAACATTTCAGAAATTGGTGAAGGGATTCGTCTCATGGCTTTATACTACTTTATAGTAAGCGCTGTAGTTCTCGTGTTGATTGTATTTTGTAAGTATAAACATGTATTGGTTGGGAAAGCCTAGACTGCGTTTGAGGGATAACCTGGCAGAAGGCTTAAGATTTTTTAATTTTGTAGAAATCACAAACGAACTTATCATGAATCGTGTCAAATAGAAATAGTGATACGAAGAAAGAAAATAAACAAAGCATAAAATAGAAACTATTCAAAAAGCGCAAAGTGTAAAGCTTTGCAGGCATTGAAGTTTCGACTTGTACTTAATACCAAATATCATGTCACTCATTTCCATTGGTCGGTCTGTCGGCCGGTTTGTTTGCTAATCTTTCAACTGCATATAACTGGGAAGATACTGTTCGGATTTGAATAACATCCACAAGGTATTACTATGCCAAGGACGGAGTGACCGCGCATAAAGCTAGGAGGAAAATGGAGACGTGGGTTGCAAGACAACACTCTCAGAAATGGAGAAGTATCTCCAGACATCTCCGCCAGGCACGAGAACTAAGTGAAGGGCCCAGTGCTAAAGATGGACGCTTCTGCCTATCTCTGGATAGAGCCAACCTAAGGTTGCTGGTGGGACTGTTGTCTGGCCATAACACGTTAAGGCGTCACCTGCACGTGAGGCTGAGGATCCCTTATGTGAACGCTGCGGAGTAGAGGAAGAGACCTCGGCGCACGTTTTGTGTCGCTGTGAAGCTCTGAGCTACTATAGGCAGACTATACTGGAGTCCATTACTTTGGACCCTCAGGACGTCAAGGAGCTTGGACTCAAGGCGTTTCTCAACTTCGCTAAAACGGCGAGGCTTGTGATCTAAGGATTGTAGAGGTGCATAAGGGCCCGCTTAAGCGGCCTATGCACTGGCTCCTTATGGTGGCCGGGATGCCTCTAATTTCAAGATTCATTCATTCATTCATGCCAAGGACGAAAAAGTTTCAAAAAACCGGTCCAGTGGCGGCAGGGAAAAAGACCAAAAACTAAAAAAGCAAAAACCGCACAAATTTCGTTTTTAATCGAGAGGATCATAATTTTTGAAAAAAATTTAGGGTTGAAAAATTTGGTGGTGGGGGGTTGTAGGGGGATCGAAAGGGAGTATGTTAATTTTTTCAGCGGGCATTGTAGATAATGTAAAATGAGATAAGCTTCAAGATAAGTAACAGCACATGGTATATAATACGATTATTTTCATAAATAAAACGTAGATGTCTAATAGATCATATTGTATATCAATACCTTTTAGGCTTCCGAGCAAGGCCGCAGCTTCCACCAAGTCAGTCTCAACTATTACTTATGGAGGGCACTGACAACCAAGAACCATTTTTCAAGCATTGCAAAGAATTGATGAAAAATAGAGATTTCATTTTGATATTACTCTCACTGGGAATCTTTAATGGAATTTGGAATAGCTTCGGTATTTTGATAAACACGATTTATTTAAAATACTTTCCGGTAAGTATAGCTTGAAGGTACATCCGTTTCGTACGATATTTTTTATTTTTAGCTAACAAATTCACTGTTCGTTAGACATTGTTATGAAGTAGTAGGTGTATTCAACATTAAGTTTCAATGATCAGATCCTATTCTTTATGTGATTCTTTTACTATAGCCCTTCATCAAAAGGAGTCATGTAGTGTTATAAATTAAAATCAATGAAGTCAGCGTCACATTACATTTTCGAAAAAAAGAACGGACGTTGTAGACATTTTCGAAGTCTGTTGTTCTTCTCAAATTGTGCCTAAATTTATTAAGGGCAACTAGGTACAAGGGATATCAGACATTTGACAAACGTAGAATGTATTTTTCCATCCATAGTAATTGTTATGTTTCTTATAGAATGGAGAAACTGATGTTGGAATTATCACTCTATGTTCAATCATTTCTGGAGGATGTATTGGAAGTCTCATTTTTGGCTTTATCTTAGACAAAACCCATAAATTCAAGTGAGTTGAAATATCTTTTGAATAATCAATTTACTTTAACCTGATTTTTTCCATACATTGTAGGAAAACGACAATTGCAGCTATGTTATTTTCAGTGGTATCCTATGCCGTTTGTATTTATATGTTTATAACAAAATCCAGATTGGTAACTTTCTTCACAACACCTCTTTTTGGGTAAGTGAAGTTGAAGGTTTGGTTTGATATGTTTTGAAAAAGGATCCAGTCGATATTTTCTTAGGTCTCCAATGAGAGATTTCCTTTCGCAATCTCAGAGTTCCTATGTAAACTACCATATTGTGCTTCATGTGGTAGTCAGGAAGTTTTTAGCTGTGAATTCAATTTACATTTTCACCTGACTGCTCAGAAGAAAATTTATATGTTTGCGCGTAGGTATGATTGACTTTATTTGATATGGGATTTCAAAACAAGAAGTACAATCACACTCCTGCTCCTCTACAAGGTGGCTTAATTAGAATTTCAATCCGACATTTCATTTCTTACCGTCAGTCAGCAACTTTATTTTTTGTTATTGACGCTCTATTGGATTTTTGTACAGTTTTTAGTTTTCATTCCAAAAATGTAGTATATGTCATACATTAACATTACCAGACTTTAGTTATTCCGAAAAAAAAACAGAATTTCCTAAGTAGGTCTTGTTCTCATGTGTTTTATATTATCAGCATTTATTCGGTTTCATAAGCTAGACTTTTATGTGATCTGTCCCTATTTCCGATTTTAGTGATGTTATATTTTACATATTATGACATGGGTTGATATTATGTCTTCAAATGCCTAAGAAAGTAATATTCCTGTAGTTGGTCTAAACTGACTGAATAACGAAAAAGATGTTTTTTCATATGTTTTAAGAATAGTATTGAATACATTGAAAACATTATCATTCTATGAAGATAAAAACAGTTTGCAGTAAATTAAAGCCGCAACGATGTTGCAGCTTCCTAAACACATTTATATCCGCCATATCTAAGCCGATGCACACATCTTGCCTTCAAATACTATTAATCTACGGTGGTGTCTTCTAGAGCGTCTCCATCGTACTAAAATACAGGAGCTATAATTAGATCGGACAAACATGTCATAAAGTGTTATTCTCAAACCCAACTGCGAAAATATTAATTTTTTTCTGAAATAACTTAGGTTAGATGTCAATCTATGATGTTATACATATTCGAAATCAGAATTAAAAACTCTATTCACCCGTGCATATCCAATTTGGCGTTCAAAATAAAAAGTAAGGTTAGTTATGAAGGACAAGATACGTCAAATTGAAATTCTAATTATGCCACCTTGTAGAGGAGAAAAAGTGTTAATTTAATGTGCAATTTATTTTGAAACCCTACCACAAATGAAGTTAGAAAAAAAATAAAAATGATTTTCGGAAAATTCTATCTTTTCCGTCTCTCTCTGGAAATGCTCTAAATTGCGAAGTGCCATTTTCTTGGTTAACTTACATGCGACCTTTTGCTTCGATCCAACCGACTTCGTATCTTTAACCGTTTTCAAGATCCCAATTTGACACCAGGTATATGTGGACAAAAATTCTATTGCACACGTGTGACACATGAGAAGTTGTTCGTCTTAGCAGTGGGCGTGGCACTGGGTATATTAAGATTTTATAATACCAAATTGACGAATTTCAGTTCAAAATGTTATCTTTGAAATTTATTTTTCACGGCCGCCTACAGCTTAAATGGCTGGATGGGTTTTTACATATATGACTCTAACACATATTAGAATTTTAAAAATCAAAACAACTACATTTTAAAAAAATACAACAAAACGACTGCAGGCGTTTTGGTCGGATGGGACATTGAATACTTTTACGCTTCAGGTGTCAAAATCCATTGAGCCCGTGAAATAGTTTTTGCAAAAAAAACTCCGTTATTCTAATTTGATGAATTTTTAATATACTCACTGCTGCTAACAAATCTAGAGACACCTCATATATGTCAAAATCTATGCAGCCATTTAAGCTGTAGGTCGTGAAATAGATATCTCAAAGTTGAAATTTTCGTCACTTTCATATTATAAAATTCTAATATAGCACTCCTAAGACGAAGCCAAGAACACCTCTCATGTCAAAATATGTTAATTAAGCCGTTTGGACTGTATCGCTTGAAATAGATCTTTTGTCCACATACACGCATATTCGTACATATATAACCACGTGCGAAAAGCTATCTGTCCGGTGGCAGTCGGGCAATAACGAATTTTTAACGCAAATTCTATCTTTGAAAATTCTATTTCGCGGGATACAGTTCAAACGGCTAAATGTATTTTGACATTTGAGGTATCTGAGGCAGCAGTGTGAACGGCTTAATAATGTGAGTGACATTGGGTGTACTGAAATTGAATACAATCAAAATGCCGAATTTTCAAAATTTCTATTTCACGGGCTACAGTGGATACGATTTGATGGATTTTGACATTCTCTAAGCACAATTAAAGCTTTATTATTTTAAGTAACTGTAGCCGGATTTCTTGTATTTTTTTTTAAACACATTCTTGTTGTACACGGGTTCGCTATTCAAAAAGGTTTGGGGTCAGCGATATTTTCACAGAAAAGTATCACCCTCTCGACCCCTTGAGAAAAATTATTGCGGGCGCCCATATTGTTGTGTATCAAAAAAAGCTGCCACTCTTCGTCGTTGTCAGTCAGAGCGGTCCGACGAACTTTTGCCCTTAGTTTCGTTGGTATGTCAAGTCTGGTTACCCATATACCAGACATGTTCATAATAGGAAGAGAAGAAGAAAAGAAGAGCAAAGAAAATTGGTTGGTTTAACTATTCGAGTAGTTTTGTTAAAAAAATCATTTTGATCAAAAGTTTATAATGAACTAACATTAATTGATCTCTAACTGGCGATTAATTTTGATCAGAATGAGGCACAGCCTGGAAGAAAGTTACCATGACAGTTTCTTGTCCCATTCGAATGCTGTTTCAGGTATCAAATCAGCGTGAACTAAGTTTTTCTTTTGTAGGTTTTTCATCGCCAGCACATTAGTGATAAGCGTTGAATATGCTTTGGAGGTAACGTACCCAATACCAGAATCAATCAGCTGCTCGATCCTGAATGGAGCAATTTTCTTGTCCGCGATCATTTGCACCTTGGTTTTTGAAGCTCTCTTCGATGCTGTCGATTACATTTGTACGTTTGTTGTTATATTAGTTACAATGGTAGTATGCATTATTCTGACGTACTTTATATCTAGTAACTTGAGGAGAAGAGACGCCAATGTGGGTCAAAGTAGGAATAGTAGTATAGCAACTCTTGGAGATTGATATTGTGAAGGCGGCTTCTCACAATTGGTCAAGCCAATATCAGAATGTAAAATGTAAGGTTAATGGGCAGTGGTTGAGCATAGTGAGCAAAGCCCAGATCGCAGCCTATTACAGGGCAAGAATTGTGAACAACTGTGGACTTACTTTAGCCCATTGTGAGAAGGGGGCTCAAACGTTTAGATTCTAGGTTTCTAGATTCTTGTGATTGTTAGACACTATGATGTGAATTTTAAGTAAGCTCTCAGTACAACTTTTATTTAATAAAAAGCTAAGTACGTTTAACTTTATATATATATATTGTATATATGCAGTTGCTAAACAGACATTGTTCTAGATTTTTTTGTAACCAATTTCCAACGTTTCATGATGCAAAGTAGAAGAAAAATTATGCATATGCGGGAAAATCTGTGCTGTGTGAAGTATGTAGTGATAATTGCCTAAAATTAATGGGGTTCGAAGTGTATAAATATACTGCTTCCAAAAAATTATTTATAACCACCCTCCTCGCCCCCTATAACCTCCAAGCCCCGATTTTCAACCCATAAATTTTCGGAAAATGATCAGGAGCCTGTGAAACATGAAAAATGAAGTGCGATTTTAGTTTTTTCAAAATTCCAACAACTGCAAAGATTTTTCGTATCTGGCTTGGGATAGTCGTAACACTATGTGAAAATTTCATCAAAATCCGAGCGGTACTCAAGTTATAGGCGGTTACAAGATTAGCGGACAGACAGACCGACAGAAATGAGTGAAATGGTTTTTCATGTATGTGTCATATAACATCCAAAAACATATCGCTTTTTCTAAAATTTTCGCGATTACAACACTTCGCCGCCAGTAGGCGTGGGAAGTAAGAGAGGTAGATTCAGCAAGAAATATCATCTCACTTTCTTCTACGTCTACAATATCTACAGGAATCTATTAGAAAGAATCTTTGTTTTTACTAAGACACACTGGGAAAAGTGCGCGTCATGCAATACCTGTTTAGGAATTCAAATTTTGATTAAAGGCTCTATCTAGTATGTTCCCCCAATATCGTGGTGATGATGACGAAAATAAGATAATTTTTTCTCTGTGTGCATCATCCACTTTTGTGCCCTAAAATGACCATGATCCTCTCTCGAATTTACTACCATAAGAATCAATTGTGCAGAAACTAATCATAGGTCTGTTTCAGATACCCTGTAAACCCATATTACTTTTATCATTTTGTATAGATACTTATTTACGAACTTTATATTTCCTGAGTACCCTTCCTCATCTCCAACTGCAATTAGGAGCTAATAAAATGTGGATATCTTAATACGTCTAAGAACTTAGAGGGTAGAATTCTACCCTTAAAATTAACTGTACTCCTTACAAAGTGACAGATAAGCAATCTCCTGTAGTCAGGCCCGTATGCAGTGGGTTTTAGGGCTTCAACGCTCGCCCGTCAGAAGATGACTGTATTTTTTATACTGAAGTTTGAAATAAATCATTTTCCGCAGCTTCGGTTATCACCTGTTGGGCGCCACCTCGCGGAATTGGTTTATCAAAAAGAAGCCAACGATAAATCATATAAGTCGTCGCCTTTCGGACTAAAGATCACATCAATCATCTTCAGGCACCAGATGTCGTTGACTTCACGATATGTAAAAACTGTAGATACAGTATCTCTTCTCGAATCTTGTATGATATCTCTAGTAATCATCTACCTGTTGTCTTGGATGTGGGCAATGAGCATACTTCTGAGGAGGAAGCTCCTCCAAGAAAACGTATAGATTGGGAGCTATACAAGCTGCTCCTTAGAAAGTTTCTTATAGATGATGAGTCTGGAATAGATGCCGCTCAAGTGTAGTGGGCAAGTTTCATTCAAACAGCTCTACAGCATGCAGCTGTACTTCCTGTACAAGGACACGGCAGACCTTCTTTGCTTGCGGACATTCGTCAGAAAATCTCTGACAAAAGAGTTAAGCAGGGAAAAAGGTCTTGTCATCCTGATGACATTCGTAGGGCTACAAATCTTGTCCATGAAGTGAGAAACGCACTGCACGAATCCCGTAACGAGCAATGGCGGAAATGCTTGATTCAAGTGTTCCTCTCTGTAGGATAGCAGTCTCACACACAACAGTCGAGGTTTTCGCTGACGCCATGGAAAAACAGTTCTCTCCCAACTATGATCTTGATAGTGACCTCGACCAGGAACAACACATCGTACGATCCGTCAGGAAATATTTTAGGGTCAACGGCCTTAGCGGAGGCACTGAATCCTGCTCAGATGACTCTTCTTCAGAGGATTTGTCTGAGGCTCCATATAGCACATTAGCGCAACCCTCCGAGGTTCCACATTGCACACCAGTGGAGGTGGAAGTCATATTAAAGACCTCAAGGTTCGTAAAGCACCTGGGGACGAGCAAATTGTCGCCCAGTCGTGTACTGGTGATCTGGTTCACGATGGGTTGCAGAGTGTCGTGGACGAAGTACTAGAGTGGGCGAAACGGTGGCTGATTAAAATGAATCATTCGAAAACGCAGGCTATTTATTATACCAAAAAACCTCACGCCCCCCCTAGCAGAGGTTTCTGTAGACGGCAACCGTGTACTATTGACAAATTCTGCCAAGTACTTCCGTGTCACCCTTGATAAAGGCATGACCTGGCAGAAACATACAGCAGCCTTGAAAACAACATTCCAAATTGCGTTTCAGCAACTATATCCTTTGTTATGTAGATCCTCCAAATTGAGTTTGATAAACAAAGTTTGGCTATATAAAATGATTATTAGACCAGCTATTACTTATTCATGTGCGGCTTGGTGTTTTCTTGCCAAGACACACATGCAAAGTCTTCCAGTGCTGCAAAGCAGAACTTTGCGAACAATTTGCAACGCTCCATGGTATGTCTCAAACGAGACACTACACAGAGACCTTGACATTCCTTCCTTGAGGGATTATGTCAAGCTTCAGGCGCAGCAACGTATAGTTAAACGGAATTGCACAGCAACCCTCTGTTGCGTGACTCAGTGGACTACACGGTGGAGCAAGTTCGTAAGCATTCAAGGTCATGGCTCGCACTGTAATAAAAAATTACACGCTAACAAAGCCAAATCAAACTTTGTTTAGTCCACCTCAAAATTAATCCGTGTACCAAGTCAAAAGGCCTAGGAGTTTCCTCTTAAACTAAACACTTCTGTTTTTCTTTGATCTTCTCCTTTTTTTTTCTATTTCCTTTCTATTTTTCCTTGACATTGTCTGGTTTCTGGGTAACCAGGACTGACAGATTCGACTAACGTACATTAGACAGTGACTAATGGGTAAAGGTAAGGTAATTAAGAAACTTTAGAGTCAATGGAAGTTCGAGAAACAACATCTCAACCCATTACATGATTAAGTTTTGTTTCAAAACAGAGCCTCAAACATGTCATGTGACTTGCGGCAGTCGCCTTAAGCGTCAATTCTTCGTATACCGGGTATTGCAACTTGTCTCCTGATTATTTGAGGTGAGATTTTATATTAATTTCACAACACCATCCACTTTGTCTACGAAGTGGTATAATTAGGAAATTGATTTGACCTTTCGTCTCTTGTCCTCAATCGTACCTTATTTTTTTCATGTGGGCGCCAGGATGGAGGTTTACACGTGTAAATAGATTTTCTAATTCCCATTGAATACTATAGGTATTTATTAAGAAAACTCCTATAGTAGGTCGTCGAAGAACGAACAATATCCTGCTAACTTTTTCTTATTATTAAATGGTATAATTTTAGGCAAATATTGAAAATATCATTAAAACCAAATATGAAAATACTTGTTTTTACTTCCTACGCCACTGGCGAGTAAATATTATAATCGCGAAAAATTGGGGTATTATGTTTTTTAGATGTGCTCAGTTATATTATGTGACCTACATCACAAAGAACGTTGTCACTCATTTCCCTCAAACTCTCGGTATGTTTGTCAGTCTGTTCCTTAACCCTTGGGCCGTCTATAACTTGAAATGTACTGCTTGGATTCCGGAAAGTTCGCTGATTTTCAACTATTTACGGAGATACTCCAAATTTCGAAACTTTCTAAGTGCCTTTTTATTGAATCTCCCACTTTGCCCCAATTAAAGACACACCTAATGGTGGAGTCAAATTTGAAACACTCGGAATAGAGGTCGACGTAGATGGAGATCCGCCGAGTGGTACCTCCTCGTTCAAAAGTCAGCGACCGCCTACCACCTACGAACAATCACGGCATCCATAGCTAAGAGAAAAATTATCTTGGCAAGGGATTCAAACGTCTATCACTAGGCTACCGCTGCTGCCTGTAAGCGGCAGTCTGGCAGGAGCAGCTCGAGCAAGAGCTCAGAGGAATAAAGTCAAATATTCACGGGCTTGAATTATGGGTTGTGAAACATTGAAAGAATCCTCTTGAAAACATACATTTTGGGGAGAAAGAAGAAGGCGATGAACATTCCAGAGCTGTTATTATACTAAGTGACATATAAATCCGAACACCCAGTTTAAATGATTTTATTTTAATGAAATTTTGTATAAGTACTTAATGAAGCATAATAAGTAAATGATAAAAATTTTAAAATGATTGCACTGCTTTAAAGCCCTTTGACCTTTAATAATGTGTGGATACACCCTGATGTGCTACGCATCCTCCAACGCGCCTAGGCATGCTTCTGATCAGGCGGTCAATGTCCTCCTGTGGTATCTCATTCCAGGCAATCACCAACTCCTCTCGAAGTGCTTCTAGAGTCTGAGGAGGACGTTGCAAATTGAGCAATCTCCTACCCATCATATCCCACACGTGCTCAATTGGGGATAAGTCGGGAGATCTTGGTGGCCATGGTAACAATGTGACATCATTATGTTGAAAGAAGTCTATTGTGACTCTTGCAACATGTGGTCGGGCATTATCTTGTTGGAAAGTTGGATCTGCCAGGGTGTCAAGATAGGGAAAAAGATGGGGTTCTAGAACTTCGTGGATATAACGCTGCGCGTTCATGTTACCTCTGATGAAGATTAAAGGTGACCTGGAACCATAAGCTATAGCACCCCAAACCATAACTCCAACAGTGTGATGAACATGTCTTTCAACAAAAAACTGTGGATTCCTCCTTTCACCACGTCGCCTTCTAACCCTGGCACGACCATCGCGCATGCCTAAACAAAATCGAGACTCGTCACTAAAGACAATACTGTTCCATTCCTGATCCCAGAGTGACTGTTGTCTGCACCACTCAAGGCGATTACGTCGGTGTTCTCTAGTTAAAGGGAGGACCCAGTGTGGCCGGTATGAAAACAAGCCAAAAATTCTCATTCGTCGGTAAACACTTCGCATGCCAATAGGTCTTCCGTGTTCTGCAAACCATTCATTTGCATTGGACCTGGTAGTGGAGAAACGGTCCCTTAAGGCCAATAACCTTAGGCGGCGATCTTCACGGTCTGTTGTTCTACGGCGGCGTCCAGTGCCCCTTGCTCTTTGCGTACGGCCTTCTCGAAGCCATGCCTGACAATACCTAACTACAGTGTCTACACTTCTTTGCACTCTAACTGCAATTGCCCGAAAAGAAAGTCCAGCTTCCCGAAGTCCCACTATACGGCCCCTATCAAACTCACTAAGTTGACGAAATCGTACAGGCCTCCGTACTCTAGGCATCGTAACCGATCGTAAAGGATGTCAAGAACCAAAATCCGCCAACGTTGATTCTTTACTGCGGCTGAAATATTCATTTTTAGAGCGTTAGTGAATTCAAAAAAAGCAAGATAAAAACCGGAATGTCCAACTGATGAGGCAGAAAATTTTTTCATTTGTTATTTACAGTAAGATAAATACATTCACCAACTTTTATTAAAATAAAACCATTTAAACTGGGTGTTCGGATTTATATGTCACTTAGTATATTTGTTAACAGTTGGACATGCTGAATACGATCCAGTCCAATACGGTTCTTATAATGGGTAAACACATTTAGGTGTCCTAAAAGCAATTACGTAGGAATATTTCTGAATTTCGTACTAATGACCTTTGATCCGTAGTAGATTTCCCACGATAACTGCTTTGCTAGAACGAACAAATCTAATATTAAATTTGGAAAAGGCAAACAAAATGATACGTCAATGTTTGTTGCCATTGAGTCAGTTTCTTCGCCAGAATTGTGACAGATAAAAGGCATGTAATGACAGCCATTAAAGCTGATTTTTATGGCAGCATTACTAATGCAAATGCTGATGATAATAAACTAATAGCATACTGCAGTAATGAGCCAAATAGTTGAATAAATATGCCGATAATCTATGTAAACAAAATTTATTTTTAGGTATTCACCTAATGCGGAATCCGGAGGCTATTTTGTTGATGTTATGTATGTAATTACATATATTCATTCCTATCATCTAAATTAAAAAGAACGGCTTTTATTATAAAATGAAGATATTTTTTTCGAACAGGGTGGTCACAAATACTTCTAACGGGAAACCAGTACTAGATGATGCATTTAATAAGGTATTCTCCTATAAGATGCCTAACCATATGCTATATTGGACACTTACGATTTCCATCATCACAGCCATGTTGCCAAGTAGGATCGCAGGAATTCCCTTTCTGTATCTCTCGATGGTGGGCCTTTTCATTTACACTAAAGTATGTAATTTTATTGTAAGACAGGCCATTACAATTTCTTCTAAAACAGAATCGGTGTTTGGCTAGTTAGCTTGATGTGTTATGATATGACACAATGCAAAACCTGATCTGATGACAACTCAGCAAACCACTGATATCAAAATAGCAATCGTCCAACACTTAAACGTAATGAGTCATCAAAATACTTGTTTTCACTGTTTCTAGTGATTATTGCAGTCACGGTCGTGATTTTGTTGGTCCATTGTGACTTTTTATGCAAAATCGATAAGGAGCTCTTCACTAGTTTTTATGCGTATTACCTATTCATGTAGAATTTCACGCCTTTTTGTGTCAGTTACTGATACTTGAATACCCATTACAGGAGCTCATGTATCACTAGTACCATCCCAGATAATTGTGAAAGACTATTTCAGAAACAATTTCCAAATTCCACGAAAGTCAACTACTCATTCACAACTATTTGTCTAACGATCCCAACTTTCGAAAACAATCATTAGCCATCACGTAATAGATCGATAACGTAACAGCGGCGTTAACGGCCCTGCGAAGTTCATAATAAGTCGTCACGGGCCCTTCCATATTAGCCAATCGGTGTGTTCCTCCCTTCGCCAACCAATCCCACCAGGGCACCCTTATCGTAGGGGATGGTACTAAAGTACTACCCCATATATATGCTAGGTTTTGGTTCGGCGTCAGTAAGACAGTTGTAGCAAATTCACTTGACCGTGTTTCTGCGAATTTTTTGCTTTTTGGTTCAGTTAAGTTGTGGCCAAGCCGCGTTCATCGTGATTAGAATTTTTTGTTTCTGGCAATATTGTAATCGAATGTTGTGTACACTGTTGAACATGGATTACAGCGCGCTATATAAAAATGGTAAGTATTTGTTTTATCATAATTTTATATTGAACCCAATAGAATTTTTCAAAACCACGTTGAATGGTTCTAGACATAATTAAGAATTGTTTTTCAAAAAATCATAAATATGTACATAAAAAAATTGTTTCTATATATATATATTTATTTATTTTATATCAGTATAAGCTTTACGTATAGTTTACGCGCTTAAAAAATACTCAACTGTCAGAAGATAAAAAATGCTATAAATAATTTAAATACTTTTTAGCTTTTTTAAAATCAAAATTATGTCTTATGGAGACCTACTTTTTCGTACTTAAAATTTTGTTGTTAAGATTTTAAAAACAATGACGAAACAGCGAATTTTTCTGAAAAAACTAAAAGAAAAAATATTTGAGAAAATGTGAAATAATTTCTTCCATTATGTCTTTAAGTTTAACATAAATAACCAAACGTCTCTATTGTCGATAACTCAAAATATGTACAAATGATCGATATGGGTTTGATAAATTTTAATCCAGCATTGAATAGTTTTAGCAGTAAAGAAAGCTACAGAATCTTATGTCATACTCATAGGTTGGAAATGTTCAATATCGATAAGGACTAGAATTTGTCAATATTATATGATTTCAATTATATTTTTTGCCTAATGTAGCTGAATTATGTAACTTGTAAGCACATATACGATGTTATTTCAGAGTTGTGTCCCAATAAATGCAACGTGGCTTTGAAAGGTGCAGAACTGTGGCAAAGATTTCACGAACTTGAGACCGAAATGATCATCACAAAAACCGGACGGTATGTATCCCTAGCTCGTTATATTCACTAGAACATATCAACATATTCTTTAAAATCCAAATATTGGCCATGAGACACCTAAAGTTAAAGATTTTTCGATTTTTGTTTTTATATATCAAACCAGTCGTTTCATATCTATCTATATATCGAAAGCAAAAAAAAAATGTAACGTTCTCCTATGGTTTTCATGAGCATAGTACTCCACTGTCAGGTTGAATCAAACCTCGTATATGTTTAAATTATTGTTTATTGTAACCTTTCGAACACCAGGGTGGCCTTTTACACGTACAATGATAATGATGACAGTACATTTTGTTTATCTGTCTTCCTGGTAACAGTTCATTTACCTACTGTTCCTTCTCTTCATTCCCATAAAGTAAACCGACAAACTCCTACAATAGCTAGAAAAAACGTGTATGTGGTTTGATCCGGTCAGACAATGGATTCCTTCCAAATTAATTTAATTGACTGAGATTTCTAATACTCCAGGAACTGTGCAAAGGATAAGATAAATATTTATAGTTTCACTTCCTACACAAACCATGTGATGGCATTTTAACACATTCATATATTTATTTACGTCGGTTTCTCTGCTGCTAGTGATTTTGATACGACGTAACCTTAGTACCTATCCCGTGCAGCGTCTTTGATATTTGGACATCTATATGCAGTATTTAACTATGACAATATTCCAAAATTATTTACATGTTTCGAATTCATTTTTGGGCACAATCAACATATCTTTTACATAGGGGATCGACACAAATCAAGCTAAAAAAAATAAATACGTGAGTCAAGTTTTTTCATTTATTGGCTTTGGGAATGTGAGTCACCGTTCTTAAGCTGCATATTTGTTTACTTCAAACCAAGTAATTTATGCAGGTCTTGAATCATTAAAAGATTAAATATAATTTCCTTAACCACCTCGGGGATACTTAGCCTAAAAGCAATATAACATATTCATAATTTGCATATGAGTGGATATTTGAAAAATGTTGGTACATGGGAAGAAAGCACCAAATTTTTCTGTACCTCTTTCAGAAACAGACTCCATAAAGTACTACCTGTCAAGTTATTAATTTTTGCTCTTCAAGCGCCATATGGATTATTTATATCAACTTTCAAAGCATTTTAACCTGAGAGTTTATAGGTATTAAGGATTATCTTCCTACAGGTCGGTGCCTTTAATATTCACCATTAAGCAATAATAGATAGTACTGAATTGATCGGCTTATGTCGACCCTTTGATCAGCACTTGACCTTCTGTAGATCTTCGGACCCTTATGCTAATATGTGTTGGTGCAGGTCCGAAAATGACAGGCAGTTATCATTAAGGTCCTCTCACATTTATCCGTCATTGCAGCCCGTCACTAACCGTCGCCTCACGCTTGACTGAAAGCCGTCGTACATTTATCCATCACAGGCTTTGCGTTGCTGGTCGATGAGAGACTAGTAGATAGATCCAAGCTCAATTCGCCATTCTCCCAGTGCTCATTTTACCCCAAAGTCACTCGGCAACGGGGTATTGCAATCGCGAAAAATTTAGCTAATGAGCTGTCATGGTTTTTGGACGTTACATTACATGTACAAAACTAAAAACCATATCACCCATTTCGTTTGGTCTCTTGGTTGGTCTGTTCGCTAACCATTGCCCCTTCCTCTGGAAAGTAGCTCAAAAATGTTGATGAAATTTTGGGCTGTTAAAATTGATGCATGTCAGCGTAAAATAGATGCTCCTTATCAGTACTTTTTTACGGTTCGTCAGAGTAGAGCATTCTAGTATATTGTATAATTCAATAACTAATCAACAAAACTCTATGTTATGTCAGTCTGCTTTTATTCGACGGATTTATCTGAATATGCAAATAAATAGGGTTCATAGATACTCATAAATGCTAGGTAGGCTAAAAAAGGTGAGAGAAAATATTACAAAACGTTTATTGAATGTCCCTTAACATGAAACAAGAAGCAGTTCGGTGCATTTTTGTTAAATGAATTATAAAAAGTATCTTTCTCGCACCAAATGACTATTTCTAGGTTTTTTAGATCGCTCTGACAAAAAAGCCTTAAGCTACTTTTCTCTAAAGCTTACCGTTTTCTAGTTATCAGCGATTTAATGTCTGAAAAACCATAATTACTGAATGCTTAAAGACTCGGTTAAAAATCATAGTTTTTGAGGTTGCCAAGTATGTAAGTCAAAATTTAAACCTGGCTCCACATGAACTCGAAGATTAGTTAGGTATTAGTTTATGTTCAAGAAATTTTCAAACTAATTTATTTGACCAAAGTTAGCGAACTTTTTTTGCAAACTGTCCATTACTTTTAAAAGAATGATAGATTTTGACATTTTCTTTAATTGGAATGTTCCATATTTCATTACATATCTGGAGAATATATATATAGCGTTCTAAAAATTGATAACTGTAAGCTATTTATGTTCCAAAATGCCCAACTTTGATAGCCTTTCAGTTCGTTATTTTAAAAGATAGCGTTTTTATATTCTAGGATTATATGTACTCATAAAGAGCTCCAATGACGTCCTCTTGACCCTTCGGTTCTTTAAAAAACGTTCCCGGATGCACCAATTTTATCACCCACAATTTTAGTTTGTTGTCTTCACTTCTTCAATGAATAAGTGGTAGAGGCCTGTGTATGTGTAGTGTGATATCATTATCAGTCCTTTGATTTCAAACAAAATCTTCATATTTGCAATTTTTGAATTTTTTTATATTCACAAGGAAATAAATACCTACGCACTGGATGTTTTACTTCTATTCACATAGGCTCTCTTATTTTTTCTATACTCCAACTTTATCTATAATTAATGTATTAGCATTTATCTTATACCGAATCTTTTCATTAAATGTGACACACGTGTATCGTTTTATGAAAAAAATCTAATTTGTTGTTTTTGTGCTTTTTGACAAATTCCCTGATCTAAATAAGAATTTATTATCATCCAAGAATGTTGTCATCCGCTATCATAAAATTGTTTGAATCGATCCCGTTCATCTATCATCGCGGCCATCAAGAAGAGCCTTGTGGTTTCGTCTTGAAACGTAAACAAAGCCTACATCTAAACATCGCATCGCACAGCTTCTTGTTTATTGCCATAACAGACGGCTTCCTGAGAAGTGCCACATGCGGTTTTTACGTCCACAGTTCAAGTGCAAAATATCGCTACGTCGCTCGCTGGTTATGTAAACATCCATTCCAGGTTTAAAGAAAACTTCCCGTTGCTTCCTGACCTGCCGCAGTACAGACGGGCTTAGGCGACGAAACGTCGATCGCAAGTCAACAGATTGATGGAAGGGTATCAGACAGAATTAATGTCACGTTTTTGAAAGGAAATGACAATATTTCTTATGATAAATGACGGCAGGTCAAATTGACTGAAATTTTAGTATTTTGTTCTCCATACCAATCTGACAAGTCGTATGATCATAGTATGAACGTTATAGTTATAGGGTGCACAAGTATAGTAAGCTGGACGTATAATAGTAATGTCTCAAGGAAATCGATAATACGGCTAAAAGTAATCGAACAGTTGATGGACCGAAGCAGCGTTAAAGTAGATCTATCACTTCTCTAGTTAACGACCACGGGTACCATTTCTGTTCGCGTTTTTTGTGTAATCAATTCTTTGAATTTATTCCACATCTGTTGCTCAGAAATTGTTGATACTGATGCCCTCTGCCAAGGAAGGCTCTTGATTAAAACAATAAGGAAACTATACAAGAAATTCAGCCAATCGGAGACTACTTTTCAGGGATAGAGTGATGATTTTCGCAACCTGTAACTCGGAAAAGATTAACACCTTCCCCCATGGAGACTTTTGATGAAAATATAAAATTATGGTTTTCCAGCAGAATTATAGTTATTTGGTAATCAGAAAGTGAGGAAAAAACGTGTTTGAAAGATGGGTTAAAGCGGCATTATATAAACTACTTAGTTCAAATTTAATAATGGCCAAAGAAAATTATGTTGGAGTTTTTCGTTCGCTCATATTTTTTTTTTGAATTTGCGTATCCTGTAGCTCGGTAACCCTTCATAAGAGGACCATCCGGCCAATGACACATTTGTTAAACTGCTATTGCTAGTCATTTGCTATATGAAATCTGCCAGCTTCCTCGATGGGCGAAGAAGTAATGTAATCGCAAAAAATTTTGATAAATTAGTTATTGTCTTTCTTGGATGTACATCACGAAAAACCATGTTACTCATTTCCGTCGGTCTGTCTGCTTATCACTGTGCTTGTCAGCTAATCCTTGTCCCGTCTATAACTTGAGAAGGACCGCTCGGATTTTGATGAAATTTCCACACAAGGTTGCTACTATGTGATTTGTGTGATTGTCGGTCAGATTTTTGTAATGAGCTGTGCTGATACAGGCAAAGATGACGCTATTAATAATTTTTAACATATTGTTTGAAATTGTTAGAATTTTTATGGGCCAATCTCATGAACCTTTTTCTGTACTTTATCGAAAAATGTCAAATCAAAGAGCTTTAAATGTTTTATCCACGTTGAGATGAAGTAAGACTAATCCACTGTATTTTAAGGCTTTTTGTTAAATAATACATATGATGATAACTTATCTGTCAAATAAGGCACCAAAGTTATCAAAAATGGTGGATGGTACGTTATACATACAGCTTTGAGCATCCGAGAAGTGTCACCAGTACCTCTAATAATCCAAAGGTCTTCTTACAAATGATGATTTCTCGTCATTTTCATTTATCCGAGTCACCTTTTGCCCTAATAACGGCGTAAACATTGCTGAAAAGCACATTGTTAGTGCATACATGCACATTCCACTACAAACATGTACACAAGCCAATTAAAAATTCCCATCATACTCTTAAGCCTCAGATCTTTTATATGAATCTATAGGCCCATACCACCTCTTTGCAGCAGATCCTGCAAGATCTTTTTTTCAATAAGTGCCTATCTGCAAAAATCTGCACATTTCAGAGAAATGCGACCCTCCCTTTTTTCTGTTTTGCTCAGTCACTACATTTGGTACAGAAAACTACTACAAAAGCACCTTGCTTGTGCGAACATGTACGCCCTACCAATAAAAAATTCTTGCTTTCATAATTTTGAAAATCATTAGTCCTTCATACAAAAATAACGGCCCAGAACACCTCTTTGCGGCGCACCAAAATCAATCAATTCTGTTATCTGAGCCACTGGCTACCTACACTCCTTCACAGCTGTATCAATTTGCTTGTTTGGTAATTAGGGATTTTCTTCGATCTTGTCCTGCCTTTTTTCAATCATTACGTATCTAAAAAAAATCATTATTTATTCCATTATAAAGACAGCTGTCCGATAATTAAGGGTTGTTTGAGAACTGCTATTAGCGGCTACTGCTCACTTTACTACTTCATTAGGGCCCACATATATAGTTCAGCCTGAGTGCCGATTGAGGGTTGGAATTTAAACGAAAAGTAAGACAACCTGAATGACCCTCAATTGATGATTAACATTGCACAGTAGGCTGTAACAGTTATTATACAAATTTTTCGCAAATTTAAAAATTTTCCGTTTTCCATATTCTCATGTTTTTCGAAATCCTACTACAATTAAAATTTTTTGGTTTTTTATATTTAAATTCGGAATTTTCAAAATGTACTTTCATATTTTTCAAGTTCTTTATGATATTCCAATCTCCAGTTTTCGATTAGATCAGAAGTTTTCAGTTCCGACAATTTATATAATTAAAAATACCTACTGAAATTTTTTAAAAAATGTTTAGATCTTGGAAGTGTGTCTTTAAAATGTAATATGAAAATGGTGAAAGCTTTGGAAATCTTGTAAATATTGAAAATTTAAAAGTTCTTGAAAATTTTGTAAATCTTTATCGTTTTAAAATCCCCAATATAAGATTTTCGCCGATACCGATATATCAGATGCCGTTCGTTCCCTTCTGATCACAATCGAGTGTATTTTCGTTCGGGTGTTTGTAAGTCTATTGGCGGCTACACACAACGTCTAGTTGACGAGTAAGCCTGTATTAGTTTCTTGTAAAACTACACATGAAGGTGACTACGCAGGCAACTGTACAAGTATACTTGTTTTTTGATGCACGTCAGTATACATTTTGAAGCAGAATGATTGAAGGCCATACCAACTTACCACATAATATGCACTTATGTCAGCCCGACTTGTACAAAAATGTTAGAAATAAGGAAAACTTTTACTGTCTGGGAATATTTCGAGAAAGTTACTGATCAAACTGACGAAATTGATAGAGCAATTTGTCATCCAAAAAAAAACAAATTTCTCGGAGGAAAAAACAACGAACCTAGTAGATAATATCAAGTATCATCTTTCTAAATACTAGCACACACAGCACACAGAAGACTGAAAATGACTGTTAAGTTTCATTTTATTATACACGTAACAAGGAGTTGTTTGTTTTTTAAGCTGTGAAGCCCAGTAGTTTGAAATAGTTACAATGTAGCTAGTGGCACTAAATTACGGACAGTAACTATGAAATACAACCAGTTTTATCACAAAAAAGTTGTTATTACTAAAATACCGATTTATTTGCTGTTTTAGATATAAAAAATAATTTCCGATGGTGATTATGAAATTGTAAAATAATGTAATAGAAACCTTGGTATAGGACTAAAAAGAGATTTGCTTACTTTTGCTACCAATGGGAAGCGGGCGTTATTTATTGTAAAAAAATCTGCTTACGTAACACTTGAACTATATAGCATCAATTATTGTGGTAACTAATTTCCTAACTCTAACTACTCATTTTTTGTATTTATTGAATTACCATTCGGACCCTGATTTACCAGTTAAAGAATTTTTCTCTATATACTGCACTAGATGCAATAGTATTCTCAGTACCTTTTCCTAATAAGGAAGCAGTCACAGACCCCTAACCTTCAGTCTCTCGAAATTAAAATTTGTTCTTCAACTTGCCATGATCCTGTCGGTCCTTCTAAATCGGTACTCGCTCATATTTGCCAATTGTCTAGAAAGCAGGCGCCAGATAGCCAGGGTAAACACTTGGCTAAGTGCTTTTGGCGTCTGACATAAGTGGTGCAAAGGCAAAGAGTACCACTACCACCGTCGACGTCGCCATGGAGTCAGACGTCAGACGGACGCCGTTATCTAGTTCCGTAAGGTTGAGATATTGCAAGAGTCAAAGGAACTGACGAAAATACAGGAGCTTTTACATTTAGTACCTTAAAAAAGAGATACAAACATACTAAACCATCTTCAAGGTATAAGTAAATACTTTTGTTGAGTTATTTGCTCCAGGCATCCAAAAAAAAAGAAGTCGTATACATTTAAGATATTTGATTATGTTCTAATGTAAGCAAGATCAGAAAAATAAAAAAGTATTCCGTTTTTTAATAAAATGATGCTTCAAAAACCATCTACATCTCTTTACTATAGCCTAAAGTGATAGTGATCGTAGAATAACTGGGATCTGGGAGTTTTTGGTTTGTAATTTACTCTTCAGCCAAATCTTAGCAATGTAACAGCATTATCTGCTACAATCGTGTAGCATACCTTCCATTGTGATTAGAATCGGTTCAATGAAAGCTGAGATTTTCTGATTACAAGAAAGCCGATCACACTTAGATAGGCCGACGAACTGTCAAAATTCTTTGGCAATGCTCAAAAGACGAGTGGACACAAGCTAAAAAAAGTCGTAGATTAACATACGTTGCAATAAGTCATTAGGAATATCAATTATAATTATGTTGTATTAGAACATCAAATATATTTTCACCACGTGTCACTGGGCATGAAATGAAACCACAGAAAACAATACTGACTTTTCGGCAACCCCGGTGGTGACCCAAACGTCTCTGGATTATTTTATCTACAATTGTGGTTTCATTTAAAGGCTAGCAAGACAAACACAGGATAAACTTTATGAGTTATATTAATTACAGAGAATAATTTCAAAGAATTCATATCTAAAAAATATAAAACATAAGGTTTGACAATGTTCACTTGTCCATTGATATTCTTATATACCCAAATATAATCGAGTGAGGTAACAATATCGAAGTTTGGAAACTTTTGGATATGTTTTGGTTTTATGCCAACAATTTCTTCCTTGTCAGTGGACGATATTTTCAAAATACAATCTAATACGAGTCCACAGTGTGTCAAATCAAAAATCGCATTACGTAAGGGTAACGATCTTTACAAAACTGACAAATTAAACAAACAGAAATATATTTGTTACAGAAGATCAAAGAAGTTTCTGAATGTATTGTGATAATGGGATAAAGATATTGATAAATATCTAAGCCGAAGAGAGTCAAATGAGGAAGCATGACTTATTTTTAAAGCAATTTTGCACTAGGTCTCTCAATATTTCATGTCAATCATATCCAAAACACCAATGCCAAACAGTTTTTTGCTTTATATACCACTCCAAAATACTAATTTTTGAATAAACATTAAACCGACCCTAAAAACTGTCTTCTATTCAAAGAGCCACCACTCTCCATCGGTACCCGCCCTGTCGTCGGCGTCTTTTGTTTTCTAAATTATAATCCTCGAAGATGAAGTGTCTGGCACGTTGTAATAACAATTTAACACCGCAAACGGAAGGCCTCCGGGATTACCGTGATTTTCCGTAGTAAAATATCACTTCCTTTGTTTTCGTTTCTTCTCCTCGTTAGTGATCCATAGAGCGGAAGGGCGGAAAGCGGAAGCCCTTTGTGGATTAATTGCAGGGAATCTCAGGATGATTGCATTGTTAACCACCGCGTATAACCATTTAAAGGCCACAGTTGCATCTGGCAAAAAAAATCAATGAAAATACTTCTTCGCATAAGGTTTGAATGACTTCAATATGATTTATTCTGGGCCATTAAATGAAAGGACACAATTTCTTTCTAATATTTTGGATTAATAACAAAATATTTCCTAGTCGCCATTTTATGTGCTTAATATATTATATTTTATTTGTCAGATACTAGCGAGTCCAAAGGATGCTTAAAAAATGCTACATTTTTCATCATTATCCATGTTCTCGTCATACGATACTTAAGTCCTATCTAAATTTCAGGTGCCAAAAATAAAGAACCGAGTTCTGCTTAAACGACTATATGGAAAAATCATATTGAGATACAACTAAAATGCAATAACTATCCTATTTTTCAAACTGAGCTGTTTAGAAACATGTTTTTGTTCGTTCCAGAGGATGCAGATCATTTTTGGAAAAATTATTAGGAGCACAAAAATTAGTGGTGAGGGGGTTGAAGACGCGGGTGAGGGAGGGTGTAGCGCAACTTTTTAATGTAAGAATAATAATTCACTTCCAACCCCGGTAATTCTAGGCACCTATTAGATATATTTCACACACCATAGATTTGCCCTTAAAACTTCTAAAAACATTCGTCATTTCATTTTCATTTTCACGGAGTTTTTTTTTAAATATTGCATCTTTGGTACAGACCGAGCTGGCAAGTAGCGCGATATTATCTATATAAAAGGTGTCTCAATAAGGGCGCCGGATTTGATTTTCAAGAAAAATACAATTTCTTTTCGAATTAAGCGAGTATTTATATTTCAACATGAAGAGTAATAGTTGCGACATGAAATAGGACATCCGGCAAATGGCCACTAGAAAACCTCTGGCACAGGGTCAGTCTTTTCTTAAAATTCTGGATAACGTTTTCGCACCACTGTGGCTCTATTTCGTCGATAACGCCCCGTATCTCTTCTTTAAGGCGTTCAACTGTTTGTGGCTTGTTCGCATACACCCAGAGGAAGAAGTCCATTGGCGTTAGATCGCACTATCTTGGTGGCCAATTTTGATCGCTAAACCGAGAGATGACACGGTCTGGAAACTTGGTCCGCAGTAATACCATTGTTTCGTGTGCTGTGTGGCAGGTCGCTCCGTCTTGCTTGAAGAACTTATCCTCCACATCAATCCGATTCAACTGGGGCCACAAAACCTCGGTTAACATTTCGCGATACCGCACACCACTAACAGTTACCGCAGTTCCCAGCTGCTTTTTTTAAGAAATACGGTCCAATCACTCCGCCACACTACAATGCGCACCAGACGGTAACTCGCGGCGGATGCATTGGCCGTTTGATTATTACACGTGGCTTTCCAGAACCCCAAATTGGGCAGTTCTGTTTACTGACGTACCCGTTCAGTTGAAAATGTGCCTCATCAACGAATTCACGGCGCTGCGCATGGTCCGTTATCCCGAGTTCTTGTGTCAGTTGAACATTGTACGCATGCAAGCACATATCTTCTATCAAAATTCGTTGTAGAGTGTGTCTGGTAAGGTTCAGTTCTTGGCCACGATGCCGAATGGAAGTGCCTGGATTCTCGACCACACTTTCCCGCATTGCGACTATATTTTCGAGGAACCGATCAGGACGGCGACGAACAGTGGTCTTCACATTCGGCAACGTAAATTTTGTCTCAAATTTCGTAATTAAACGGCGAACTGTCGACTCATTTGGCGCATTATTGCGACCGAAAATTGTACGAAATTTGCCAACGGTTTCCACGTAATTTTCGTAGTGAGTTTTTAAAATGATTAAACGTTGCTCGTTTAAATACTGCTCCATGACGTCTAATCGCGTGGTCTGGACATGATAGCTGTCATCAAATAAGCACCATACAATTTGTACAAAAAATGGTAAATTCAAATACGGCGCTCTTGTTGAGACACCCTTTATATGAGTATTATGCTTGGAGTGTAAATAAGTCCTGTAATACGATTTCGTGACGTAATATTAAAAGTATAGTCTTATAAGTCTTTATCAAGAGCTATTATAGTTAGTTATCAAACATTGTTGATTAGCAGTGTTACACCAGAGCTGCAAAGAAATGAGGCACCCGTGTACGGATACGTTCATTGCTGCAATCTGAGGAAATTTCTTTTCCATGAAAAGCCCAAATAGTGCATTACTGGTTCTGACAAAACCTACGTCTTATTGATATCATGGTACTACATGAAAAATTGTACTCGCAGTTGTTTCGAAAGCATGGAAAGTATAGAGTCAATCTACTTGGCGCTATTTCTTTAAAAGCTGCGTGGTTGTTGAGTTTTCGGGATTCATGTACTTTCCAGATGTTACAGTAAGTTTATAGTCATGTATGTCACTGTGATGTAAAGTCCCATGACCCCAACCCGAGTCCACTATCAAAAATGGTGGTTGCTATCTGAATTGACACACTTGACTTTTAAGGTCATTATCTGCTAGGTCATATATCGGTAACCTGATAAATTACGTCTTTAGTACCTTGATACTTTTGTTGAAGCCTTTTTGGAAAAAAAAAGATGCAGTGGAAATGCGTTGTTTTGGATACAAAACAGTATAAACCTTTCAGAGCGTAGTTGATCTCTTTTCGTTGCGCATGATTTTTATGTCTACTCTGAACCGTCTATTAATAATGCACGGAAAGTGCAGGTCAATTCACTTGACGTTGTTGCGATTTCTGAGATCTGCCCACCTGCGCCCCTGTACGTTCTCCACCGTTATCCCATCGGCTCCTTTGCCCCGGTCAAGTCAAGTGTTAAAGGCGTCAGAGGACAACGAGACAACTCTGTCCTACCATATTTACCCTACAGATCATCCCGCTTGTTGCGTAATTTTGCAGTGGCGCCTCGACTATCTAGAGTACGTCGACTGCGGTCTTTCGTGCCGACTTGCCGACACAGAGTGACTCATAAGAATTCCTTTGACCATTGGTCAACGGTTTTACTTTGTTCCTGGAGGGTGTTTTCGTGATAAGGCGGCATTCCATAGGATGGAAATGCATTCCATTGTAGGTGGTATTTATCTTACGCGACGAACGGTTTTTCAAAGTAGGTGGTCATTGATGAGGGGACTGATTTGTAGTTTGACAGAAAATTCAAAATTACTCATAAGTTATAGGTGGGTGATTCTCATCAACAGGTTCCAAATTTTCGAAAATAGAAAGTCTAACTTGAATTTCAAAGTAAATAGTATTAAGCGAGAGTATATCAATGATCTGTGTAAGCAACCCTCAGTGACCTTTATAGAATGAAAGCTACCCTCTAAATCTGAAAAAAACTTGTGTCGGGTGCTCATGCATCTCTTTCCTGACACGTGACGTCTTTTTGATAGTGGAGGACGGGCCTTAGGCATCTTAATCACAAAACAGAGCAACAACAACAAACTTACGGCACTCGAGGAATAAATCGAACGGTGAATATCTAGCATGCCGAACAAGGCACCTGTCTTATATCTAGCCACTTATCACTCGCTGGAGGCGTGGTCAGCGGCAGGCGTGGTTTTGCTACGATTAATATCCAATTATTATCAAATGCCTCGACGACTCTGAGACCGTTTGAAATAGAAAGCTGATTTTTTTGTGGCTTGTTCTACAACTTCTCTGTTCAGTATGAACAATATCTGAAAAATTGTTTTTCTCCGATAAGAAAAAAATATTTTTGCGAAAGAAAAAACGTAATCTGTCAAATGAACCATATGCGACCTTCCTTTATCTATTTGTAATGCAATCACGAAATCTCATGTCTGGGCGACTATTTGTTCTGAAGCTAACGCGGCAGAAATATTGACAAAAAAAGTTGATATTTTGACGAAAAAAGAAGAGATGATCTTAAATTAGTCATTTTTACACACACCATAAAATAATTAGACAATAGGTATGTATTAATAATGCTGCCCCAATCGCTCAGTTGAAAAAAAGCGACCTTAACGAGTATAAGCAAGAGTGCAAGATAAGCGTTAGTCGACAAAAATTCAATATTGATATAAATTGCATGGATTTGTCACCTGTGCAAATTTCGTTTTTACTTCCCACGCCTACTTGCGGAGAAGTATTGTAATCACGAAAAAATTCGAAAAAGAGATACGTGTTTTGGGTGTTATATGACAAGTATATCACGAAGAACCAGTCACTCATTTCCGTCCCTCTGTCTGTCGGTCTGTCCGCCTATAACTTTAGAAGTAGCGCTCAGATTTCAATGATTTTTTTATACAATAGATACGTATTACTACCATACCAAGGACGTAAAAGCTTTGTAGTTTTTGAAAATCTGTCTAGTGGCAACAGAGAAGAGGTTCAAAAACGAAAAAGAACAAAAACTGCTCAAATTTTTGATAAAAATTTTAGAGGTAAAAAACTTCAAATCCGGCTTATCTCTTCTTTGAAAGGTAACTATAAAGACAATGGAAGATTTGACGGTCTTAGTCGAACAATCCGACGGAGCGCATTCAAAACTTATGTTTCCGAAATTATGTGAATTTTTGCGTTTTGACAACCTTTCCATCCTTTTCACGTCTCATATGCCTGAAAGAACTCAATATTTTTTTCAGTTTCCTTTCCGTTCCGATTGAGTACTCGGATGCCTTCCAATCATCATTATGACCTGTCAGGTTAGGCTTGTATGTTGACACCAAGATACTCAAATGAAAAAACTCAACATTTTTCCAAGAAGACACGTGTATAGAATCACGGCGCCGAACTTGACATAAACGCCAAACCAAGAAGCAAACTAAATACACCCTGTCGGCCACCCCGATTGCCCGATCTAAGCCTTTGGATAGATCAAAAGGACCGACAGGTCGCAGATACACAATAGGTACTTTCACGCACCACGGACGAACAAGTGCCACTGTATTGTCGGCGAGGGCCGCAAAGCATTGTCCTGGCCTTCTTAACGGTTAAAAAATCACAAATCAGTAGCATCCTGGAGCACTTTGCTGCTATTTCTCACGCCGTGTTTGGCCATAGGGTAATCCTGCGATTTTTAATTTTGTTTGTGTGCTCGGTGAATTCCGAGCAGACAACTAAATATACGAAAAACGATGAGGGCGGATTAAGACAGTCTGAAGGGATTTCGGCGCACCGACACTTAGGTGCTACTTCAGGTTGACTGGAGTACTTTAGAGTATGGCGCTTGGCAAACATGATACCTCAGCTCAACTGCCTTAACGTCAGAGACATTTATCTATATATCTTACGTTCTTTCCTAAACCATTTATAAAATCTCTGAAAATTCACAGAGCTAATTAACTTGGTTTTGTACACTTAACCGTTTAATTTAACCTCTTGAGGCAACCATAAGCAAGTTCATTTAGACATAGAATTATACTGAGTTGTCAAGGCTTTCCAGATCACATAGAAAATATACGTCCATGGTTATATCATAACTTAGTTGTTTTACTTACCATGCCACTGGCAAGGCAATGTTGTTAAGTTTTTGAATATCGGTCCTCTGACGACGGAGAAAGAAGCAAAAAAACTAAAGCGAATCGCTCAAACTTCGTTTCCAAACGTTTCGGAGGCTCCGGATCATTTTCAGATAAATTTTGGAAAGGTTGATACTTGGGGATGGGGGAAGGGTATATCTCATTTTTTGGCGGTAGTATATTTCGTCGCCTGAATGCAGAACTAGAACCATTGTATGTCCAAATTCTTCATTTTTCAGATCTTAACACGACATTGTAGGATAGTCACCTACATTGCATGCAGAGGTATTGTAAGTCCCTGCGCAAGCGTTTCCCCACTACCGGTCTTGAACGATATTTTTGCGTAATAGCTTGAGACGCATCATTTCGCTGCAGAACTATGATAAGAGCAGATTATCACTTACAGAACTGCTGTAAGTCCAATGTCAGCAACAAATATAAGTCCACTTTCACGGACTTGTCATACTTTTTTCCGGTAAAACATTCAATATCTAAAATTTCTCAGAAATGTTAGGAAAGACATAATCACGAAAAATAACTCTCCTGTAAAATTGGCATTTTGTGACTTAGAATACTTCTGCATTCAAGCGACGATTTATACGCTTACCCGTAAATTTGCACTTGAAACAATTTATATTTTTGACATGCGTCTTTTTATGGGTTGACCGGTATCACATTTTCCCAGCAATGTCGTTCTGACACTGCCTGGCTGTCGAGTCTCACGAGTGGATTTATCTAGCGGTGAAGGAGGTATCGAAAACGTTTATAAATAACGCTAATGATCAGGAACAGTTTTTTCACAAAACCGATTTTAAAAATTTTTGCAGAACATCGAATAATTTTAAAGTTCCAATTCATTTTGATTTCAAAAACCAATGACACTAGAGGTACAAAATTGTTTGAACAAAAGATGTTATTTTTTTTACGAAAAGATTTTTCTCGTCATTAAAAAGTTACCTTTCATGAGCTCAAATTTCTCCTTTATGTCATGTCTCAAAAACTTGATTAGCCATGATGGAACTGCAGAAGTATGTTATTCCTAGGAATAGATGGAAGTACCAGGGAGTTTTTAAAATGATAGTTCGTAATTAGATTTACTAAGTTGATACTTATGATATCGGTGTTCTTCTGTTGACATCGTTCATGTCATATTTGTGGTCATCGCTAAATTCCTTTTTTAGAAATTTACATAAAAACGTAAGGTATACATATTTCACGCGGCGGGGAAAGTAAATCTCGTAAACGAGATAATCTGTTTTTGGATGTTATATGACCTCTATATCACGAAAAACTATGTCACTTATTTCTTTCGTCTATCCGCTGATCCTTAGCTTGTCTATAACTTGCAAAATTCTGCTCGGATTTTGATGAAATTTTCAAACAAGGCTACTACCATAACAAGGACGAAAAAGGTTTACAGTTTTTGGAAATCAGTTCCGTGGTGGTAGAGCTGAAGTAAAAAAATTAAAGAGATAACCTGCTCTCTAACAAAGTTTTTAGACGGTTCAGACACTCCTAATAATTTCTGAAAATATTTGGAGGAAAAGTTGAGGGGTGGTAGTTTGTAGGGGGTAGGGGAGTGTGTGTCAAAATGTCTTGTCGCAAGTATACTTATATGCTTTTAACTCCAGTAATTCTATGTGCCTATTAGGGATATTTCCTCGCATATTTGCCCTTAAAGCGAATATAAATATTTTTGTATGTATGTAAGACTCTTCGTCCGGGCGAACATGTTTGCGATGATTTTTGTTACCTACCTATCCATTACCAGGCCAATATATTTAATACAAATAATCACATACCATGACAGCATTAAGGCTAGTTAGTCAAGTGTTCAATAACGAACAGACGTTGTGATCATGAATATACTTCGTGTATTGTAGAATATGATATATTTTTAGTTAAACCTTTTCCTCAACTACACAGTAAATACGAGGGCGTACGAAAGTTGTCCTTAACTATTGAAAAAAATAAATTAGTCTGATAATACTTTTTCGTGAGATATATTCATTATATTACATGACCAGCTGTAAGGGCTTCCATAGCCAGCCAGTAGTAAGAATACCAGAGTGTAAGAATTCAACGTTCATAATCCCAATTTTTCCAAATCAGAAAAACTTTTTCGACTGATACTGAGTTATGTCGGGGTAAGTGGCTTTTCGTAGCCGTCGAACAATAAAAAGACCAGAACTTACAAAAGTTGAGTCAGATACTTGACGAATCGACTTGACGAAATTTTTTTTGTTTCAGGCGGATGTTTCCTTCGCTGCACATCCAAATCACGGATTTGGACCCGCACGCTCACTATTGCATTATCTTGGAGATGACTGTAGTCAACCGTTGCCGCTACAAGTATTCTTCATCAGGAGGATGGGCTCCGGCTGGTATGGAAGAAGCTCAGAGCCCTAATAGGATCTACTTGCACCCTGACTCACCAGCTACTGGCAAATACTGGATGTCTCAACCCATCTCCTTTGGAAGGCTGAAACTCACCAATACCCTGAATGCACCTCATGGCCAAATAGTATTAACTTCAATGCATAAGTACCAGCCAAAGATTATCATAGCTAAGACTGCCGAGCCGAGAGCCATCGCTTGGGCTCCAACATTTTCTATTACCTTCAAGGAAACGCAGTTCATAGCGGTTACTGCGTATCAAAATGACAGGATCACCAAGTTGAAGATAGATAACAATCCATTTGCTAAGGGCTTCAGGGAAAATGGGCAATCCAAATGCAAAAGGAAAAATTTAGAGGCAGAAAAGCAAGATGAGGAAGAAGATAAAGCTTCAAAACGAACGAAGCTAGACTCGCCATCACCACTTATTATAGACGAAGACAGGCTGTCATGCTCCTCTTCGTCTTCAGCTGAAGCTAGTACAAATGTGTCTGTCGATTTGTCTTCACCTATGAAGAGTCAATCATTTCCACTTCCCAGAAATCAACAATCGAACTACTACCAGTCCTTTATGTATCCTTTCTACCCCTCATACGGATACTACAGTACACCTATGTGGGGCACATCTTTCCCTTTTTACTATCATTCATCGTATCCTTCACATAATGCGATTTGGTCACCGATACAACAAAATGAAGAAAATATGGAGAAGGAACGGCCTAGAAAACTCACAGATTTTTCAATTAGAGCAATCACAGGTTGCTTGTAAGTAGTTTAGTTTTGGTAATATGTTTAGGGGTCCTGTCATGAGGCATGTCGATATGAATAAAATAAATCTAATAAAGAAAGCACCTTATTGTTAATTAACAAAATGAAATCTTTTTTCTTGTGAAATAATACGCAATGTGTTCGTTATTTTTTAATAGCTCATCTGTATGTGCAATAATAGAATGAAGAAAAACATTTCAGATTCTGAGTTACTTAAGGAAAGTCAAGAGGCGGCTTTTCCGAGCTTTACTAACCTTAGGTAGTTCAAAAATCGGATTAACAAAGTTTCTTTGGGATCCTCATAGCAGCCGCGGTGGCCTGGCATCTAGGCTTCTGCCTGCGCGGCTGCTTGGGTTTAAAGAAAATACGAATATTATACATACAGGCCAGGGAAAAAAGATCTTGTGGGACCTTTTTGAAAAGCACTGTATATATATACATATAGGTGAGAAAATAAAGTTTCCGCCTTTAGTTGGGTTTTTCGACAAGACTACTAACTAAAGTACGCAACTAAAGGCGGAAGCATTATTTTCTCACCTATCTGGTTGTTAGACGACAATGACCACGTCTCAAGTTATGTGTATATATATATATATAGATACATAACGTATATACATATATTGTACACCCATGACAGATTTGCAATTCAATAAAGCTCATAAACTAGACAATATTTTTATTTGTATAAGGCTACGAGGAGTGAGGAGGGCGGAGGGTAGCCATGACATTAATGACCATCTCGATATGCCCTTGTAATATGTAGAACTAGGATCCATTTTTTTTTTCAATAATCTACTAAGTTTGCTTTCCGTGTGTGCCTGTCTCCAGCATCTATTATTCTGTACTGATGATTGGTAACAAGCTTGAAGTAGCGCCTGATACCCGCTGATCACAGGAACGGAAAGTAAACACATTCAATTTAGGATGGATTTGTTATACCAATACTGCTGGTCAGTCATTGCTCCATTGTAAATATGTTATATGTTTTTGTGAATATGTTTATATAAAGTTAAAAATGACATAGTTATTATATATTATATATTTATACACCAAGAAAAATAAATTATTATTGACTTATGCAATAGTGTTACTTTGGCTCCTAAAATGTTACGTAACAACCGATATAGTCCAAAAAATGGTCCCTAAAAATGAATTCCTCGTTCGCCCTGAATTGTAATGACCCGTCTTCAAATCACATAAACACAATTCCTGGGTACGATATATTCAAAATTCCTGACCACTTGTTAGAAAAATTGAAGAACACAAACATGAACCAATTTTCATTACGATGATTACATTACAAAGATACATGAAGGGAGAGCGATAACTTGTGGAACTCTAAAAACATATATTGAATAGGTAAATAATGTATTATATCTTAGAAAATAGCTGAATTTGCTTCGAAACAAGTAGAAATAAGTAGTAGTCTAGCATTAACTTATACAGTGAAAGCTCTCCTTGCGGACAGCTCCTATAAGCGGACATCTCTTTTAACCGGACAAAGTTCCTGGAACCGAATTTCAGCCATCAATTTTCAATGTTAAATGCATTCCGATAAACGGACGCTCTTATAAACGGACGCGGACACTAGATTTTTCTGTATGTGATCAAAAAATCTCCCATAAGTATGACGCGAAACTCTACGAGTAATACCCGGACGATTTTTTAGTTCCGCTTATTGCAATGCACATATCTACATACATAAAATTCGGTAATTCCCCGATTTATATTAGGTGATTCCCCATTTACGCATTTCGTTGGGTAGCCTGTATGTAATCTTGTGGCTTGTCTTCAGTTCAGGCAAATTCGTAGTTGATTGAGTTACGTATTTTATTATTGTAACTGTAAAATGGCACCAAAAAAAAGGATGCTCTCGTTAAAGGAAAAGATGGAAGTTGTTAACGTATTAGACAGAGAAAGTGTTTCAGTTCGTCATTTGGCAAAGAGGTTTAATATTGGGAAAACGCAAGCAGCTGAAATTGCCAAAAATAAGGAAGATATCAGGAGTAAATGGCAATCAGGAACTAATATAAATCAAAAGAAGGATTTTTTAAAAAAGGAAGGTTTTGCTATAGACAAAACATGTTTTGAGTGGTTTGTGAAAGCTAGAAGTCAGAACATTCCAATCTCAGGGCCGTTAGTGAAAATGAAAGCTAAAGAAATCGCCACTACTTTGGGCTATAATAATTTCAGTGCGTCCGACGGGTGGCTGCAAAAGTGGCGCAAGAGACATAGTGTGAGTTTCAAATGCAAATCTGGCGAAGCTGCTGCAGTAGATCAAGTTGATGTGTCACAATTTTTGGAGAAACTTCCGTCCATGTTGCTTGGCTACAAACCAGAAGATGTGTACAACGCAGATGAGAGTGGACTTTTTTCGCGCATTGCCCGACAAAACTCTGTCCTTTAAAGGAGAAACATGTGTGGGTGGAAAGTTGACTAAAGATAGACTAACCATTTTATTCTGTGCAAGTATGGCCGGTGAAAAATGCGATTTGATTGTGATCGGGAAAGCGGCTCGTCCCCGTGCTTTAAAAAACGTTGCTATTAAGGATCTACCAGCGACTTGGAAATCCAACAAAAAGGCATGGATGACCCGAGAAATCATGTCTGAGTGGTTAGCCGAATTCGACCGGAAAATGAGAATCCAAAAAAGGCAAGTTTTTTTTATTTTTAGACAATGCATGCTCTCATCCTCGTGATATGAAAATGAAAAATGTGAAAATTATATTTTTACCGCCAAACACAACTTCTGTTTGTCAGCCCATGGATCAAGGTGTCATACAGAACTTTAAATTTTATTATCGGCACTTGATTTTAAAACATATTTTAACAAAAATTGACGATGGTCAAAGCTTATCTGAGCTTACAAAGTCTATCAATGTGTTAGAAGCTTTGTATTTTATAAAAACAGCATGGAATAAAGTAAATTCCTCTACAATTAAAAACTTTTTTGGCAAAGCTGGATTCAGAAAAAGTGAATGTAGCTCAGAATTTGCTGAGCAAAATTATTGCGATGCTGAAGACGATCTGCCCTTAGCGACACTTGCTCAGTTACTGCGACATGCCAAACATTTAGGAGTAGCAGATCCCCAGAAAGTAGATGATTTCCTGGCCATAGACAATAACATAACAACAGAAGAAAATGCCATTGGCAACTTTTCGAATTTGGATGTAGAAAGCCCAGGCCAACTTGAATATGGTAGTCCAAACGACTCAGAAGAAGAAGAGGAACTGGTGGACTCGCTAAGCGGTTCAAAAACGATAAATTCATATGGGGAAGCTCTAAATCATATTTCTATATTGAAAAAATTTGCTAAAGATGATTTCACTGCATTTCAACATTTGAAAAATTTAGAAAGTTATTACGAAAATTGTCTCCTTCAGCAAAAGATGGTGAAATTTCGTCAGACAAACATTTTAAACTTTTTTCAACAAGCTAAAGAATAATGTTTTTTTTAAATTCTCGTACCATGTATTGAAGCATTTATGTTTTTGTATGCGTATATGTACATATATTATATAGATATATAGCATAAATACATACTTTAAAAATGTGGCGAGTTTCTGTTTCATGTTTCTCATGATTATAATACCTCATTTCCTCATGATTATATACCCCGTTATTTATACTCTATACTTACATACTCTCTTTTAAACGGACACCTCCCATAAGTGGACAAAAGTTACGGAACCGTGAGTGTCCGCTTATGGGAGCTTTCACTGTATTTAATTTTTTATCATGGGGTTCCCATGGTATTTGACGTGATGAAAAATATTAATGACAATTCTCTTAAACTATTCGTCATTTGTTTGTCTGGGCGGTCCGTAGGAACCAGACAATGTCAAGAAAAAAGAGAAAGGGAAAGAGAAGAAAAAATGAGAAGAGCAAAGAAAAAACAGAAGTGTATTAGCTTAAGAGGAAATCTTAGGCTTTTTGACTTGGTACACGGATTAATTTTGAGTTGAACTACAAACAAATTTTGATTGAGTGTAATTTTGAGTTCACTAAAACTTCGCGCTGATTTTTGATCACAGTGCGAGCCGTGGCCTTGAAACTAATTGTAATTCAAATTTTTCCCAACTTCTTATTCACTGCAAACTCGACATTAAACGTTTGAAGTAATGTTTCTTAATGATCTTAAGGTTATTTTAAGTGAAATCTTGTTATCTAACGTCTGTCATATATGATGCTACGACTAACTTGTACAATTTTTACTTTCCACGCATACTGGCAAGGAAATATAACCGCAAAAAATCTCTCAACTGAGATATTAGGAATTTTGGATTTCATATGTCTGTCTGTCGGTCTATCTGACGGACTGTCTGTTTGCAAATCTTTCGCCCAATTATAACTTGGGAAGTACTGCTCGGATTTGGATGGAATTTCCACACAAAACCTATGTAGATTCTGAAAATCGGTGCAGTGGCGGCGGAACTATGAGCGAAAAACACAGAGACAATAATAATCGCTAAATCCTCATTTCTCTTCTCTCTCTTCGAAATATTTTTTAATGCTAAATATTGGAGGGTGAGTGTTGTTGTGCAGTGGGTAAGGGTGAATCGCAATTTTTTATGTAAATATATTAATGCACTTCCAACCCCGGTAATTCTACACAACTATTAGACATATTTCACACATCATAGATTTCCCCGTTCATTTGTCTCTAAAACGATAGAGAAATGTTTTCGACACACCACCCTGCGTCTGCTGTCCGGATTCGGCAGCCGGCGTGCGGATCTTCATAAACGTCCTTGCATGGCGCTCTGCCGCGTTGCCGCGCCTCACGTATTGGACGATCAGGTACTGGGGAGAGGCCACGTCGACAGATGGATTATACTACGGGTAGGCAGGGAAAGAATGTCTATGGACTAATTCTATGGATGTGTTGGGCGAACTCGAGTTTAATTTCATGGTTATACATGTTCGTAACTCATTTCTCTCAGAGGGTCTAACTTAAACGTGCTGGTTTCCCCCGTCTGACCAAAGACAGCCAACCATGGACAGGCGTATCGTGCTTTTTCTGCAACTTATCAGCATACTCTAAGGTGAGTCTCTCGTCTCATGGACGAACGAACAAAAGCATGTATCAACAGGCCGCCCCCAGGTTATAAGATATATGGCACTGTCTTATTTCGATAACTTGTGCTGAACATAATCCTTTATGAACTGATGCCATTTTAAGTTTTTAGGTATAACTAGCAATTTATGCGTGCGAATGATTTGGTTGTGCTTGGGAAGTACAAGGTCAAACTGATTGATTTCCATTTTTCTTCACCTCATGGCATAATTCTGAGGGGGCAAGCTTTGTCCAATAAAATAACACCATATGATAGAGACCTACCATAGCCTGAGAAATCCTCATTATTAACACCAATGCCCCACTAAGAAGTAGCTTTTTATCTTCCTAGATAAATGACAAAAAACCTTTGGGTAAATAAGATTGACCATGTTTACACCATAGGTAGCCCAGCGCTTAGTTAGCCACAGATCATACCTATGCTCCAATAAGCACTTGGTCACTACTTGCAGTGCAAACATGACTGATGTTCTAAATTGTATCGCAGTCAGTAACTAGCAGACTGAATACAACCAAGAAACGTTATCACCTTATGTTAGTTTGACAACAGGCTATGTTTCAAAGTATTTGTAAAATAACTATGATTCGTCATGATCTTTGATTTTCGAATAGGTTAAGCTAAAAAGCAATATACAACGGGAATATTTAAATCCCATAGAATTGAATGTAGTGAGAAAAAGGGTAATCATCTGAAAAAAGCAGTACATTAATAAAACAATAAATCATTTCTTATCAAGTGACTATAGATACTTGCTCTGCTGGATTAAAATCAGAGACTGCTTTAGAAAAACTGTACGGCGTTTACATAGGAATCATACTCTTGAGGACAAGGAAAAGTTTTCCCATCTGGATACAAGGAGTGTTTGCACGAAGGTTCTTCCATTTGATGCCAAAATTGAAAAAATCAAATTTTTAAATTGTATCAAAAGAAAAACTATGAATTGGTCTAAGTGGTATGTCGAAGAATTGCAGGGGATAACGAAGCTTTCATAACAATACCTCATTCAAATTGTTCTGTGAATTATGTTTATGGCAGCTGGTGAATAAAGATGAATTTTACTAAAAACTTGTAAAATAAATAATTTAATTAGTTAAAATAAATTTGGGAATATCGTGGTCTACTTCACGAGGAAGGAAACTGTGATTTTACAATTCGAAGGTTGATCCCTATGCTTCTCCCCTGACCCTTTTGAAGATGCTTATTAGAAGAATGTTGTTGCCAGTAAAACAAGTAGTAGACTGCGTTAGCAAAATGTCAAGCTTGTACGAGTATGTCAAACTTGTTTTGACGTTCTGTGCTTTTTGGTGTATGTGTGACAATTATCCTACTAGAAATGGATGAATGGAAAATTAAAACAACATTTACGAGGAAAGGAACTTTCAAGCAAGCAGCCAGTGTCAATTGTTCTTTAGAAGTCGGAAAAATTTTAAACAAGAGCATTATGCTGAAAGTGATCCAGTAGAAAATACATATGAATGCAGTGATCAGCCTTTAATTTCAAGATGACGAGAACGTATGAGTGTCTGGGAACCAGTTCCGGATGCTCCGCTGTTCAATTTTCGTCCACCGGCGCGCATGACGTCACGCTGAGAGTGAGTCTCATTTGGGTTGATATGGATAACGTGCATGTTTTCACCTACAGGTCAAATGGCTGGAAGGATTTTCACATATAAAGTGTCGTTGGATTCGACTTAGCGGTGCCAGTGACACAAGCTACATTAAACTTTTATACAAAACAAAATGGCGGATTCAAATAAAAGATTATAGCCTTGTAATTTCTATTTCACAGGCTATAGCTTAACCGGCTTTCTAGCTTAATAGAGCGTATCCTCACTTAACTGTAAAATCAATCCATTTTTCTACATTACCTATATTTTAGTATCTACCTATGTCCTGTGAGAGTGAAAATGTATCTACGCAACTCGAA